AAACCTAGACAGCAGGTCCATAAGCTGAGTGTTCAACACCACTTTACAGATGATAAAGCAGAGGCTTAGAGAGTGGGACAGCATCATACCATGTGAGGTCCCTTAGAGACGAGGAGCAGAGATGTCTTTGCTCTAAGGTCAGGTGGCCCTTATGCATGGCAGGGTTCTTGGGGTCAGGGGAAGAGTAAGACTGGAAACCGAGGAAGGCAGCAGGTCTCCTGTTCTCCCTTCAAAGGCAGCTGGGGATGTAACAATCCAGCGATCCCGGTCCATCTCGCTTTCCTCTCCACCTTCTCTGTGGGGTGAGTGGGGAGGTGCAGGGGCCCCAGTCAGAGCAGCTTATCTCTTCTGTGTCTTCTTGAACTTGGTCAGCATCTTGCATCTCAAGTGCAGCGGGGAAGGAGAGCCCACATGGGGTGTGGGCTGCCCTCCTCGGAGGGGATTCTTGAGTCTGGTGGGTGGAATCGGTAGTGGCTGGACTAGGCTGAGTGGCCAAATAGACACTGTGTGTATGGCTGGCCTGAGTCCAAGTGTCCTTTCCTTCCAGCTGGTGCAAGTCAGCTGCTGAGGCCAAGTGCCTGACTTTGTAGGAAGTGTACAGGTGCCAGTGGGGGTGTGCCTGGGCCACCTGCACCCTGGCACTTTGCTCCAAGGAGCACTCCAAGCCATGGAGCATAGTGCCAGCAGGGCTACTGCGTGGCTGCGGCTCAGATCCTGGCTGCACCCTCCACCCTCTAGACGTGTTGGAAATGTGGCCTGGGGCCAGCTGCCCAACCTCTCTGGGCTCCTTTGCTCATGGTGAAGCAGGGATGACAGTACACTTACAGCCTGCTGGTTGCTGACCTGCTGCTGGGCCTGCACATCCTGATCTCTGGACTGGGTGCCTGCCTTGTTAGCATGCTCCTGACCCACGTCCTGGGGCCCCATGGAAAGGAAGGGCCGAGGCCCTCATCCTGGAACTCGGGTCTTCTTGCACCACCACTGCCAACATCCAGGCTCAGAGCACCCCCCTCCCCCACAGTCTCCTTCTCCCTGGGAACAGTGCTAGATAGCCTGGGTGTGGGGGCGGTGGGAGGGAAGAGGCCTGCGGATGGGGAGTTGTCTTCAGCACCTGCAAAGTGCATACCTTCTGTCCTACTGTGTCCCTTGCCTTTGTGAGGGAAGCTGGCCTCCTGCTCCCTGGGGTGCGTCTGCATTGTGCTGCTGGAGCAGCTGCTGCTGTGACCTTGAGACTAAGACCAGACTGAGGTCAGACCCTAAATATACCACCTTCTCTCTCCCCCACCCCGAGCTTGCGGGCAAAGAGGATGGAGTCTCCAGAAGGAAGCCCTATGTGCCCAAGGCAAGGATTGGCAAGGCACAGTGGACTCCTAGAGGTCTAAGGCGTCATCCCCTTGTGCCCTAGGATGTCCACCAGAGGGAGAGAATTTCCAGGACTGCTCCATCTGTACATTCTGCTCACATCCCATCCTTTTAGCAGCTTTTGAGACCCATCCTTAGCTATCCAACCAGCCTCAGCTCCCATTTCATTTGCTTAAACCACTGTTTCTTTAGTCTTTATCACATAGACAATACACATTCATAATAGAAAAATTGGAAATACAGCAGAGCAAAATATTTTGGTATATATCGTTTCAGGTGTGTCTTTAATGTGCATTTTTGTGTAAATGTAATGGCACCATCCTACACATTTCATTTTCAAAGCTCCTTCCCATAACATGAAGGCTTGTTAAATAGCATACATATCAATATCATTTGTAATGGCTGCATAGGATGTGCTTGAATGATGGATCATTATATGTTTAAACATGACTGTTGGGGATTTTTAGATTATTGCCACATTTTCACCATCACACTTAACACAGGGATAGTGCCACTCTTGTATACTTGGTACACTTATGCAATTGTTTCTTTAGGAGATATGGCTGTGAGGAAAACTGCTGAAGCAACAGGCTTGCTCTTTCTAAGGCTTTCAAAACATACAGAGATTTGTCCTCCAAAAAGACAGTTCTGTTGACCTGCCCAGCAACAGTGCATGATAGCTGCCCAGGAAACATCTTTCTGAGTGGTCAACCCCCCATTCTTCAAAACTGCTCCTGTCTACAGTGAGGATTTTCCTGACTGCCGCTTAATTGGATGGCCACTCTGCCTCGCTTTCTGAGGGGGAAGGGGATGGTGGGCCTGAGTGAAGACCCGGGTCCAAGAAAGCATAGTGATGTTTTGTAATTCAGAAGCATGGCCCCTGCCAGCCTCCAGGTCAGCAGCAGGAATCGTCAGTGCAGGCTATGTACTGGGGGTGTGAGGGGTGTAAGACTTTGTCCTCACTGAGACTGGTGGAGGGGGGTAGGTCCTATCTGGGGGCACTTGGGCCCACAGTACAAAGGCACTAGGGTCAGAGGAAGGGAGGGGCCGTTAGGAACAAAGCGCCTAGGAAAAAGGGCAGGCAGGGCAAGAGGGAGCTGGAGGGCCACCTTCTAGAGATGCCAAGTCACACGGTCTGTTTGGAGCAGTGTCAACATTGGGGTGCAGGGTGGAGATAAAAGTGGCTGGATTAGGGGACTGGACTGGAAAGTTTGCCCCCAGCCTTAGACAGTGGAAAGCCCGCAGAAGTTGAGGGAGAAGCCAGGCCAAGTGAGATTAGGGGCCAATGAGTGCTCCCAAAAGGAGGCACAGATAAAACCACGTGGACTAGGGAGGAGGTCAGAAGCGACTTGCCTGGACCAGGGCTAAAGCGAGGTGGGAGATGGGGATAAGAGGGGGTAGTGAAGTGGAGGGAGAAGCCAGATCTCCAGCAGGGACCTAAATTCAAAGTTCATGTGTCCATCTGGCTGGCACTCATCACTTTAAAAGGCCCTTGACCAAAGAGCTGCCTTCCTCTTCAAGTCCCGTGGAAGGGCTCTACTGTTTGACTCTTTCAGAGAGATTGTGCCATTAAAAAAAGACATTTGACTTCTGAGATGAATCATTGGCTCTAGTCTTTGCCTGAGTTTTCTGGCTGGGGTCTTAGCTGTAAAAACAGGGCCTAAGGCAGTGTGGGCACCACCTCAGCTCTGTCCTCCCTCACTGTGGGCTCTTGCACATGTCTCTGCCCTTTGGCCCAGGAGTCCCCAGTGGCCCCTTGCCTCTATTATTCTACATATGCATGAGTCCCTCTGGATTTTGGCAGCGTTTTATTTGGTTCTGATTAGGTAGAAAACTTCTAGGCAACATGGCCCACAGGATTTAGTCAAGATGAGACTAATGTGTTCCTGAAGAAATGCAAAGACTGAGTAGTAGGAATTCCTGAGCTGAGGCCCAGAGGAGGTGAGGGACTTGCCCAAGGTCTCATAGTCAGACAGCAGCACCAGGAGACCAAGGGGCCAAAATCTCAGGAGGCGATTCTGTGTGTGCCCCGCCCAGTAGGATCACTTCATGGGTTGCTGGGATGGGACAGTTAGGCCTGTGAGAATCACCTGTGGAATGTGCTGTGCTCAGTAGATCTCCGACCTGGCCTCCTTGGTTCAGGGGCTGGGCACGCAGGGTGCCCTTCATGATGATGAGGTGCTATTCTTGGCACACAGCATGCTCAGGCCTCCTGGGCTGCTCATTTGGTGCCGTTTATGGGAATGCCAGCTCTTGCTGACATGGCAAATTTGGTTTGCTCTTGGCCCCCTGCCCTGCCCATTTCAGTGTGCCCCTGACCTCCACAGAAACATGTCCAGGCCTTGCCAGCTGGCAGAAGGGCCTAGCTGCTTAGGCCTGGCCGTGGAGGGGTCCAGAGGGTGGCAGATCCCTAAGAGGAAGGCTGCTCTGCCTCAGGACTGCGATGGCAGAGCCAGGCCCCTGCTTCTCATTGTGCCCACTTGCCTGAGCCTCCAGCTCTTCTCTTGAGGCCCAAGAGGCTGGCCATGGGAGGTCAGGGCTGTGACTAGACCTAGGATGTGGGCCTTCCATGTCCCTGCTGCACTGGGCCAGTCCCAGCCTGGAGAACTGGGTTCCTCACCCCAGGCCCTCCTGAGGCAAATAAGCTTCATGGTGCTGTGAAGGTCTCAGAGGCCACCATAACCCACTCCTCACTGGCCACAGGAGGACAACACATGGCTGAAGGACAGAGGGAAGGCAAGGAGGGAGAGCAGGTCTAGAAGACAGAGAGAGAGGAAGAGAAAACAGAGCATAGGACATCCCTGGCTTCCCAGACACAGCAGCAAGCCCTTACCAGATCACCCCCCTTGCCTGGTCCCTAAGGGTCACTAGGAGTTGGTGGTGGGGCCCCTGGCTTTCCTCACTGGAGATGGAGCCAAGTTCTGAACCGTATAGGGCTTCATATCCCCAGGTCATGCTTGTACTGGTTGAGGACTACCTGCAGTGTCCTCTCCCGGTGAGGACAGGTTGAGAGTTACTGCTCCTGCTCAACTGCCTTGCGATCTTTCCCGTGCCAGCTGGTGCCAGGCACTTTCAAGACATTGGTGCATTCTGCCCCCAAAGCAGTCATGAAGGATAGACTTTTTAAACTCCCATTTTACAGATAGGAACACTGAGGCAGCCCTGAGAGGTTAGTGAATCAGCCAAGGTCTGTCAGGCAAGTACTGAGAGAGATGGTCCAACTTGAAAACGGCTGTTGCCCCCAGCCCCAGCCCTTCCTCCAGTCCCTCTTTCTGAGTCCACTTGTGCTGGCCCCCAGGGAGCTGCTATCTGCGTGGTGCTATGAAGGTTCCCTCTCTGCCACTCTTTCCCCCACTCTTGATGGGGTGTGGATTCTGGCCATCAGAGCTCTCTCGGATGGCTTGTGGTATTCCCTCATCAGCCATCTCTCAAACAGCCAGCCTCTGGCAACCTATGCTTTGTTTCTCAGGTGAGTAACTCTGCACATGTGGGCGTGCCACCTGGTGGTGACAGATCCAGTAAGTGCTCACTCTCTGGCCTCTAGCTGCCATCCAAGACTCTACCAGCTCTTGCTTCCCAATGCCTAAAGGACATTATAAATGCATGAAATGACAGCCATATGCTTGCCTTTGGCCCAGGAGCCCTGTCGAATCAACTGAGAAGTGACTTGCAGAGCAGACACCATGAGCATCTCAGCTCTTGGAAGCAGCACCAAAGGTGAGGCCCAGGCTCCCTCTTGTCCCAGTCGCGGGCTCATTATGTAGCTGCCTTTTTCCAGGCTGGGCCTGCCAGGCCCTTGAGTGCTGCCTGGGCAGCAGAGTGAGAGGGGCATATTGGGAGGGCTAGAAAGGAAGCCCAGGGTCCTGGGGCTGGCCTCCCCTTCTGAAGCTATGTGGCCTTGCCCCTGCCAGGGAAGCCTCTCACAGCTGGCGAAGAGGAGCGCAGTAATGTACTCAAGCAGATGAAGGTGCGAACCACTCTGAAGGGTGACAAGAGCTGGATCACCAAGCAGGATGAGTCAGAGGGCCACACCCTGTAAGTCCAGGAGGCTCAGAGGGCGAGCAGCAACAGGGTGGGGCTGGGGTTGTGATCCTGGAGTCTCATCCAAGCCTGGAGATGCTGAGGAGCTTCCACCATTCAGAGCTCAGCTAGGCAATGTGGCCACTGGCCAGCTGGGGAGGTTGGAGCAGGGGAAAGCAATCCAGCTGAGGGCAAGACTTAACCAAAGTTACAGGGCAGGAAAGCCCTGGATGCCAAGGTACACGTGTATGAGTGCTTGTGGAATATGGAGACAATCCTGAGAAGAAGGTGAGATGGGAATAGTGGGCCAAGTTCCTGGAGCGCATGTACTGCACCTTCCTCAGCTGCCTCTAGGACAGAGGTCCCATGGGGGCTGGTGGCAGGGGGCCTGGGAGCCACTATTTTAGGACCCCTCTTTCTCCAGAGAGCTGCCCTCTGGTCGGAGTCGTGCCACGTCCTTTTCATCAGCTGGAGAGGTGCCGAAGCCCAGGTAAGAGCTGGTACCCAGGTGGCTGGTGTCTTCCCTCAAGTGACAGGGATGGAGCTGAAGCTAAGAAGGGACAGCAGGGTCTGCAACAAGTCATATCAAATCCACAAGAAAGATGGGCTTTTCTGCTCTCCTCCCTCTTGGGAAAAAGGAAAGCAGAGTCACTGTGTCCATTGTCCTGGTTTTCTGTGTGGCCTTTGGGACAGCTTCCTCCCCTCCTGGGCCTCTATGGTTCCACCTGTCAACTGTGATCAAAATTGTCATTAAGAATCCCCTTCAGGTAGTAAGGCAATGTCTGTGAGGTGCTTTTAGAGTCACACATGACTCCCTCTGTAGGCAGTCCTGATTGCTGAGTACACCTGGTAATTTAATTGGCATTCCAGGGAAGACTCACATGTGTGCAACAACTGTCTCCCAGATTCAGGGTGATATTTGTTGCCAGCTGGCCAAGGAAATAGTCCTCTCTCTATTACAAGGACTTTTGCAAAGAGGTGTCCAGGGAGGCTCTGAAGTGTGGGAACAACTGCCCAGATCTGCAGGAACTTCTCCTGAGAAGTAAGGGGTGGGGGACCCAAAAATTCAGGCTTGATCCTTGCTCTGGACAGCTGGCATATAGCAGAGAGTTACATTGCCACAGCCTTTCTCAGATGGTAGTGGCAGCAGCCAGGAGGACAGGGTCCAAATTCACTACTAGCCCTAGAGGCTACCTTTGGTAACTATGGCCTTGTCCATCATCCCTCAATGAGTTAGCACCTGCCATGTCTTGTACTGAACACAAAGGAGACAGCCCTCTACTCAGGAAACTGACATCCTAGCAGGGACCATGGGTACAACCCAAGTAGAGAGATGAACGTACGAAAGAATGGCGATTGGTGAGCTTGGCAAGGACCTGAGGATAGTTCAAAGATAGTTTACTCATGGGGGTGGGTGGGCTTGTTTACTCGGGGGTGCGCAATTCCCACCTTGGGCTTTGGTATGTGGGTACGTTGGAAGGCATGTCCTGTGACTCAGGACCCAGAGCAGGGGTACCCAAAAGTCTACATAAACTTTGACTCTCATTCTTTCCCACGGGGTTCCAGGGCCAGCCAGGGACCATGGCCTAACCTCCCCAGCACACAGGCATTTCACCCAAAAATGCTCATTGTGCCACCCTGGCCACTGTAGCTTAGTTGGTTAGAGCATTGTCCCATAACCAAAAGGTTGCCAGTTCCATTCCTGGCCAGGGCACGCACCTAGATTGAGAGGTTGGTCCCCAGTCAGGGTGCATACGGGAGGCTACCGATCGATGTTTCTCTCTCGCATCGATGTTTCTCTCCCTTCCTTTGTCTCTGAAAGCAATGAAAAAAATGTCCTCGGGTAAGGATTTTAAAAATGCTCATTGTGGCTAGAAGGGGTGCAAGTGACCTTCCTTGGATCCTACCCCAAGTGTTTCTGGAACTTGGTCATCTCCAGGAGGCTGTCCCCAGTTAAGTACAGGGTCTGTCGAGATGGAGAACACTGGGGCTCTGTGCTGCCCTTCCTGCCTGCTTGCATGAGGTCCCCTTAGACCCACCCTGGTGCTCCAGCCCCAGGCTTCTCTGTTTCTGGACAGAGTCCTTATCTGCTACACCTCGGCCCTGGCTGCTCACACTGTCAGCCCTTGGCTCCCACTTCTACCTTACGCCCCAAGTCCTCTGAGCCCCCTTGGTTGCTCCCAAGCAGGAAGTGCCCAGCACATGGAGCCTAATGCTTTCCAGCCACTGACTAAGCCATGGCCATGCTCTCAGGTTCCAAACTTCCATAAATACTTGTGATGTGGGTGTCCCAGTGACTGGAGGAGTGGAAGCGCAAGAGGAGGTGGAAAGGAGGATCAGCTGGCCTTGGCTGGCTCATGCCTGGACTCTGCCCCCTCGGCTCTCATGAATCTTCCTGGAAAAGGCTGTGGGTGTGGGTGGGGAATAGGTCAGGAGCAGTGACTTTGCCTGCCATGTTCTCAGCCCCAGGTCTCTGTCCAGGGAACCTGAGCTGGGTCAGCTTTGAAAACAGAGGGTGGCAGAGCTGTCAGCAATCCTAGAGGAGCTCTTGCTCAGGGGTGAGCTGGGACCTGGCAAGCCAGGGAGAAGCCAGAATTTGGAGCATATGCCTAGCTAGAGACCACACTTTTATAGGCACCTGCTATGAGCCAGGGCCATGGCTGGGCTGGGCCCGGAACAATCAGCCATCGGTACTTTTCCAGGGGAACATGAGAGAGATGGTCAGAGCAGAGTAGGAACCAGGTTATGAGCACAGGGTGGCTGGCTCTCTTGGGAAGCTCCTGGCCACTCCTGCTCCTCTTGTTCTGACTGCACTGGGACACCCACCAGCCATGCCGCTTTGCTGTCATTGGGGACAGGAGAAAGCAGGGCCCTCCAGCAAGGCCTCAATTCACTTCATGCCTTCTTTTTCCTCAGCAGGCCTACGAGCACAAGGGCTTCCACTGGCTATATCATCCGGTAGGTGATGGCAGGACCCTGCCTGCCTCCCCGCACCCACCAGCACTGCCCCCCGGCTTCTCCCTGGGAGCCTAATGGGCTCCTTCTTCTGGACTCTCTTTTAGGGGAGTGTTCACCAGGCCCATAGACAGCTCGTCCCAGCCCCAGAAGCACTTTCCTAAGGCCAACGGAGCTACAAAAAGGTGTGTCCATGGGGCTCTGGCCAGCCAGCCAGTGGGGAGTTGTGAGGGCCTCATGGCAGAGAGAGTACTCTGCCTGTCCCTGAGGGGGTGGTGGGGGGCATCTTTGTTCCTGTGTATGGTAGGACCCCTGGAGAGCAATACATGGGCAACCAGAGGAGATGGGTTGCTGGGGGAGGCAGCTGCACCACAGGGACTAGAAGTCCCCAGGTCGGAGCATGGCCCAGTTTAGGCCCTCTGGTCTCTTACTACTACTGGTAACCTTGCCCTTGAGCCAGTCCTGACTTGCAGGGAACCTGGACTTGCTGATTGACTGCAGTGAGTTGTGTGCTTTAAGCCACCTTCCTAGCAGGCACAGGTGGCATATTGTCAAAGTACCTTGATGTCAGGCTGAACCCGGACTCCATCGGAAAGGCAGGGTCAAGGGGGCTGGGTCTGCCCTTGGCAGGAGGGCTGGCCCGCTCAGGGTGCTACAGATGTTCTGGGTATCTGGCAGGGCTGAGAACAGAGAAGAAAGGCCACCGGCATTCTCTCATCCACCTACCATGTGCTTTCTGGATTGTGTGGGTAAATCTGGAGGCAAGAGAGGGCCTGCGGGTGGACATGTGAAAACTCCTTTCCTATCTAGCGCTGCCAATGTGGTGAGAGCAGCTCCTGCCGGGCCTCTCCGCCCCTCCTCCTCTGGGTACAAGATGACCACTGAGGACTACAAGAAGCTGTGAGTATGCCATCGCAGACCCAGCTCAGTTCCTTATTCCAAGAGATGAACCCTAACCCTGGCTCTCTGAAGGCAGCAGGATGCTTGCCTCTGAGCACAGTCCAGGAGTGCTAGTCCTGTTGGTCTGACATCCCTGTGAGTTCATACAGTGACCAAGAACCCACCAGAGGATGACAAGCCCCATAAAGTTGGATGTCCATGAACACTGAACTTCTGATCTGAGGCAAAACAGGATCTGTAGGATGTTTGTAGAAGGGGCCAGTGGATCTAGAGAAAGGGTCATGGGTCATGGTCCTGGGGCTTCTTCTGGCTGACTGTTTCCTGAGCATACCTCTGTAGCCCTCTGGGCTTGGCTTTCAGCATGGGCTGGGCTGGGTCAGGCTAGGGCCTGATGATCCTAAGCATGCGGCTGGCCATGACAGTCTATTAGTTATGGGCATTTTGTGCCTAAATCTGAGCTGCTTCTTGGATATAAATCTTTGGAGTTCTCTCTGGAGTTCTCCTCATGGCCTGTGCCAAAGGCCCCTTCCTGTGTTCCCAGGGAGGGGAACTCTGGACAGAGTTGTAGGTTGTGCACATGGTTCTCAGGGGCCCCATGTCTTCATATTGTTCATTCATTGTCACCATTGTCCAATGACATGGAATGGCTAGGATGTCTTTCTGGAGAAGGGGTAAGGCTTGAACTGGGTCTTAGAGGACAGTTAGGGTTGGATCAGGGCAAGATGGGAGGGCTGGCTCTCAAGGAGAAGGAAATGGCATGAGCAAAAGCCCAGAGGCAGTGTTGTTAACATATGTTTGTACTGTTGGAAGTCAGGAAGGCAAGCTTCTCAGAGTGGCAACCTATGACAGGGAGCAGGGATGGAGGTCGGGAGATGAAGAGCCATAACTACCAACATTCTCAACCCCTCCCACTCCCCATCCCTCAGGGCACCTTACAACATCAGGCGCAGCTCAGCCTCAGGGGCTGCTGAAGAAGAGGATGTGCCCTTCTCTTCTGATGAGCAGAAACGGAGGTAACAGTACCCACCAGGCATCCCATGGGCAGGGCTGGGGCCCAAGTCTGCACAGACTGGTAAAATATGAATTGTGCCAGTTAGGGTGATGACATAACGCAACATTTAGGACATCATTGCTGGCCTGTGGGCTGGAGGAATGTCTGCTAGCAACAGGCGTGATCCCCTGAGTCCCAAAACCACCCATGTAGCTGGGCCGGCTCAGGGGACCCTTTTATGAACGTTCTATGAGGCAGAACCTATGTAACAAGGGTCAAAGGAAAGCCTCATCTGTGGACAGAGGGAGGGAAGGGATGTGCTTTAGAGCTTTATATAACTTTGTCAGAAAGAGTCCTGAGCAAATTGGACCAAAATAGGTAGCACAGGCACCCCTCACAAGAGCCCTCTGTGGTGTGTTATGTGTGCAGAGTCAGGGTAGGGCCTGAATGTCTAGGGGACAGGGCCAGGCTACAGAAGTTTCAATGTTTCCCACTGCAAACTGAGGCTGGGTGCTTGGGCAGCAGCTAGAACCCAAGGAAACAGAGCTTCCCGGGCTCAACCTGCCACCCCCTTCCCCAATCCCAGTGTCTGCCTGCCCCTCTGTGGCTCAGGAAATACAGCAAAGCCCCCTGCTGAGGGCCTGGCAGCCAGGCAATCCTAAGGGCAGAGTCCTCAGTGGAAGGGGTCCCCAGGCCTAGAAGGCCACCTGGCATCGACTGCTCATTCTTCTACCAGCTAAATGTGTGATATTGGGCAAGGCACTACAGCTACTCATACCTCAGTTTCCTCATCCATGGGTGATACTAGCACCTGCCATCCTGGGTATAAGGAGTGAGCCAACATGGATTGGCAGCATTCATTGCTCACTAAACAAGGAATGCCCTTCCCTTGGCCTCTACTTTCCTTTGAATGGTCCTCAGAGCAGGTGCAAAGCTGGCTCTGCCCCCTTGCATTGCTGTGGTGGCCTGAGCTATCCTGAGTACCCATCTATCAGATGTCCCCTCGCCACCACAGGTCAGAAGCTGCTAGCAGTGTGGTAAGGAAGACAGCTGCCCGGGAGCGCTCCTATGTCCTGTCAGCAGCCAAGAAGAGCACCGGGTGAGTTGCACAGCAAGAGACACAGCTCAGCCACCAGCCGGCTCCTTGCTCTAGAACACTTCCTGTCCTTTCAGGGCTCCAGTATTCCTGTGCCTGGTGAAGGGTAGGGTGAGTGGGCCCTCTTGGCTGGACCTGCTGAGATTGTCAGATGCACTTTCTGGAAAACTGAGGCACCTGGTGGCTGCCATTAGGACAGGCAAGGTGCTAGGAATGGGAGAGAGGTCCAGGACCCCCTGGCGCAGAGTGATCACGATGTCACCTGTCTACTGCATGGATTCTACCCAACACATTGTCTTTCTACCTCCTTTCCAGCAGCCCTGCCCAGGAGATGCAGGCCCCATTCATTGCAAAGAGGTAAGTGTCAGCAAGGGAAGCCTTAGAAACCTGTCACTGGCCATGGAGAAGGCCTCCTTCTGGCAATCGTTTAGTGTGGGCACTGGGGAGAGGGTCATGGAATGGGGTCGGGCCACTGTCCCTGATCAGAGGTAGTTGTAAGGGGCTGGTGGCTTTTGTCCGGAGGCTAGGCGAACACCAGGGTGGCTATGGTGGCACATATATATGCCACAACATCCAGTTCTATGTAGGCAGGAGCCTGGCTGAGAGAACACAGCTTGTGGCTGGCTGCTCCCATTTGCCAGTAGCCAACAAGGCTGGGCCCCTGACCCAAGAGAGAGCCATAGTTATTTCCAAGGGCCTCTGCGGTTTTGAAGCATAAGTAGTTGTGGGAGTACATAAGACTTGTTCCCTTGCCCTACCTCCCATCCTACCAGGGATCGGCTAAACAATGCCTTCACAGGAGTGATCACTGGGATGGGGTCCAGAGGCCTGTCATTGGGAGCCCCTGTCTAGTTGGCCAGGCCTTTGGAAGTGACCATGACATTGGACATAGGCTCTAAATGGTGAAGAGGGTTTAACAAGGAATGATCAGGACATCAGGACACTCCAGCTGAGTGAGGTTATCACCATTAAGTAAAAGGACATCTTCTGAGAGAGTAAAATATGTATGGAAGACCAGTAGGAAACTTCCAGAAACTTGAATTTTAGGGATATTCCATTGGTTAGTCAGGAAAAGCCTGAACTAAATGAACTGAGGACTAAAAAACAAGGAGAAGCCAGCATGCCAAGTGTTCTAGGTAGAGAGCCCAGCTGGTGCAAAGGCCCAGAGGTGGGAACAACTTGCTGTGTTGGAAGACCAGAAAGGCTGACTGGAATACACCCAGCAGAGGGTGGTGGCAGCACGAAGGAAGTGACAGAAAGCCGTTTACTCTTCGTGGCTGTATTAGTTTCCCAGGACTGCTGTAACAAAGTACCATAAACTGCGTGGCATAAACACCAGAAATGTATTATCTCCCAGTTCCGGAGACTAGAAGTTCAAGGTCAATGTGTTGGCAGGGTTGATTCCATCTGAGGCTCTGAGGGAGAGACTGTCCCACACCTCTTTCCTCCCTTCTGGAGGCTACAGGCAACACTTAGCTATCCTTGGCTTGTAGATGCATCACTCCAGTCTCTGCCTCCATCTACACATGACTTTGAGTGTCTGTGTGCAAATTTCCCTCTTCTAATAAGTACACAAATCATTGGATTTAGGGCCCACCCTAATCCAGCATGGAGTCACCTTAACTGATTACATCTGCAAAAACCCTATTTCCAAATAAGGTCACATTCACAGGGTCCAAGCAGACATGCATTTTGGGGAGACACTATTCAACACAGTATGCTGTCCTTATCCCAAAGTGGAGTTGCTGAGCCCCCAGCCTAGGCCACCTTATGGCCATAGACTCCACTGAAAGAATGTATGCCCTCCAGGGACAGCTGAGTATATGGTCCAACTGTCTCTCTTCTTGCCCAAAGGGTGGAGGTGGTGGATGAGGACGGGCCTTCTGAGAAGAGTCAGGACCCATCTGCTCTGGCAAGATCCCCTCCCAGCTCCAGCAGGTAATCAATCACTCATTTCTGTCTGGGGTGGTGGCTACCAGGCCTGCTTGCCACTCAGTCACTGTGGAATCTCTGCCAGGTCACCTCCTTGCAGAGCCTCAAAGTCAGTGTCTTCATGTGCCCGGTGACAGGATGGGCCACGAAAATCAGTGAGGGCCTATCTGGCTAGATGTCCTAGGGCTGAAAGGAGCAAAACAGCCTGGCCTCCAGGAAGAGAGCACTGAACTCCTGTCTGGGTAGTGGTTATCTATGTCACAGAGTTATGGTGGGTCCACTGCCAGGGCGCCAGACCTGCCATTCTCAGGTTTGTTCGTGGCTCTCCTAAAAGTTGGCTAAGTTCAACCTGCCAACCCTGTCCTCCCACGCCTGCTGGGGAAGGAGCCTCTGCAGTCCCCAGCACCACTCGCAGATGCCTCTTTTGCCAGTTCGGATGGAGGCCGAGGAAAAGCGTCCCTTGCAATTTGGATTGAGCGCGTACCAAGTCTGCCGAGTCCTGCTGGGAGCCTGGAGCTCAGGTGCATGCTGTGAGCTGGCTCTGGCCTGTGAGCTGGTCAGATGGGAGGGTCCGGCAATGGGGTGACCAGGCATTGGTGATCGCTCTCCAGGCAGGGTCCTGATTTGCTCTGATTTCTGAACCCTGAGTGTCCAAGTAGATACTGGTGCTCTTTTGTCTGCGGACGAAGAGCAATCAACACCTTCTTGTATTTTGTGCTGAATCCTGTTGAGAGCCCAAGCACCCTATTGTCACTGCTGTTTAAAGCACCTACCTGGATTGGGAGCTTTGCCCCAATCCAGATCTGCCAAAAGCTGTGCCTTTGTGGTACCTTTGGAAGACCCCAAGGCCAGATAGGCAGAGCACCTATCCCTACAGGTCACTTTTGGGGACTCGAAGGACTGTTCTAGCTCTCATAATGCCACTGCAAGTCCGCTCCCCTCCCCCAATTCAAGCCCTGCAACCATTTGTATGCGCCCACAGTCTTCAAGGTCACCTCCTCTGTGCCAGGAGAAAGACAGACCACCCACCACAGTGCTGCTGGTGGAGAGCCAGGCTGCAGACCTCTGCCCAGAGGGAGCAGCAAGACTGCTGGGCTGGGGCTGGGAGGAGAGGGGAGGAGGCTCAGTCCCTCTTTTGATCCTCCCTGTTTGTCTGAACTTTTGTCCATAAGAACTTTTGAACAGTGGAAATATTTGAGAACTCTCCACAAAGTAGCATTGATGGGACTTGATGACTGATAGTTTATGGGGGCTGTCTTAGTTTACTAGAGCTGCTGTATCAAAGTCCCACAAACTGGGTGAATCAAGCAACTGAAATGTATTGTTTCTAAGTTCTGGAAGCTGAAAGTCTGAAATCCAGATGTTGACAGGGTTGGCTTCTTCTGAGGCCTCTCTCCTTGACTTGTAGATGCCCGCCTTCTCACTGTGTCCTCACATCGTCATCCTTCTGGGCATGTCTGTTTCCTGACCTCTTCCTTTTATACGGACACTGGTCAGATTGGATTAGAGCCCACCTCAATGACCTTATAGTACCTTAATCACTGTTAAAGATCCTATCTCCAAATACAGGCACATTCTGAGGTCCTGGGAGTTAGGACTTCAACATACAAATTTTGGAGGGGAACAATTCAGCCAAAAGCAGTGCACACCTCTGATTTTTCTTTATTTCTCTTCTTTTTAAAAGCAATAAATAGTTTCATGTGCTTTTTAAAACAGAATATAGGAGGAGGATTAAGTTGTACTATTTATAGATTTGAGAGGCATTTTGACATTTAGTCCACAAAAATCCTTTGGATGTTTAATGCCCATTACCTGGCTGTCCTAGCAAGATAGTTTTCTCGGTCTGCTGGGGCTCCCATAACAAAGTACCTCAGCTGGTGGCTCAAACAACAGAAATGTATTGTCTCCCACTTCTGGAGGCTGGATGTCAGATAAAACTTGCCTGTAAAGCCCCAGGAGAAAGAATTAGAACCAGATTATGGAATGTTCCAGGCACCAGAGGTATCTCACAATGAGACAGCCTCCTTCCAGAAGGATGGCTAGTAAGGCAGACATGATACTCCTCAGAGTGTTGCTTCTTTGAGATTCTGCAATCATGAAATATCTAGAGCCCACTGGATAGCTTCCAGGTGATCTGCTGGCCAGTCCTGAGCAGCCTTCCTCTCTGACTGGACCAAACCAGGCCTTGCACTAGGCCACACAGCCATCATCAGTTCCCCATGCTCTGCTCCTGTCTGTCTGGCTATCTGAGAAGGCTAGGCCTGACTATGGCCTTGAAGCATTCCAGCCCCGTGGAGAGCAGTGACTCAGCCAAACCCTGGGCCTTGTAGCATCTCAGAAGGAGCTGGTTTATGGCAGAGTGGAACAAAAGAATATCACAGCCTTGTCCCCAGGCATGGCCCTGCTGAGGCGCCCCCTCCACGAGCCTGCCCCCTATTCTGTCCCCCTTGGCTCAAGCCTGAAGGTCAGCTCCTCATCTCATGCAGCAGGACAACCAGGAGGCGTGCCCCTTTCTTAGGTGCCAAACCCTTTATGGACTTCGAGGAGGGCTGAAAGTTTGGGACAGGAATTACCACACGATGACATGCACAGGCTATGTCCTCAGGGCTCTCCAGAGATCCCTTTCCTTTCACTGGAACTCCAGTCTTGCTCTAGGTCCCAGACCTGCCTGGGTGTCCCCAAGCCCCTCAACTCCAGTGTCCACATCCACTCTACTTGTGTCGACCATCACCCCCCACACACTGCTCACATGTGTAAGGAACCCTCCCTCCATACACCGCAGGCCTGGTTTCTTGGGTTAATCTAGTTTTTCTTCTCTTGCTGTGGGATAACTCCTGCCCACCTTTTGTACTGAGCTCATTTGGATACCCTCTCCCAGAGAGACTGACCCCCACAAGGGTTCCCTGGCCTGACTGCGGCCCCGTCACTGCACTGATCAAGCTTCCTCAGCACTCTGCCTCATCGAACCAGGGCAGGGCCTACAGTCGGCGCCCCAGCAGGCTGCCTCGTAGAGTAGCTAGGAAGCAGTGAATAAGAGCACAGATTCCAGGATTCCAGCAAAAGGCAAAATCCTGACATTGCCCCTTACTGATTGTGTGACCTTGAGAAAGTCATTTTACCTTTTTGTGCCTCCATTTCTTTATGTGTAAAATAGGGAACAGTGATCACTACCGCCTGAGGCTGTCCCAAATAGTAAATAGGATAATGCTTACGAAGTCTTTTGTGTACTGCCTGGGGGCTGATATTGTCAGGTGGTCCCCACTAGAGGCTTGCTAATTTGCGGGGCTCTTCAAATGATGGTAGACGCCAATATCGCCACCTGCTGGCCTCTGAGGAAAATATGTCTGTGGGTTCTGGAGAAGGAGGTAGAGGTATCGGAAGTCCACCTTCTGCCACTTCGCTTGTAAAAGGAGCTGAGAGACCTACGTTAGTATCTGTTTTCACTAACCGAAAGAAATCCAAAGAGGAGTTTTGCTTTTGTGAAAAAAGGGAAAAACCGAAAATAGCATTCAGCTCATTGCTTCTTCCCTTTATGCCATTTCAGCTTATGAAAGGTTTCATAGGAATGCTCTTTCGCAGAGCTGGAGAAACCTGTACTCCCTTCTCCCTCCCCTGCTTCTCTTCCTGTTTTAGCTGGATGAATTGCAAACTCTTTGGCGCAGGCCACTGTCAGTCATGTTCCTACGGGCAGCTGGGGCTGCACTGGATGAGCGTTCCTGGTTTTTAGCAGCTCTTAGCCTAACTGAAAACTTCAGACTGGACTAGAGCCATCTGTGGTTGAGGGTCTGGGGAGGTGGGGCTTTTGGGGAGTCTTCTGGGGAAGAGAGGCTGGAAAGCTTTATTGTGAACTTGCTGGGGTAGCCATGACAAGGTGTCAGAGACTGAGTGGATTGAACAACAGAGATTTATCCTCACGGTTCTGGGAGCCAGAAGTCCTAATACAAGGTGCGGGCAGGCCTGTATTAGGCCTGAGGGAGCATGTTTCTAAAATTTTCTCTTAGCTTCAGCTATTGCCAGCAATCCTTGGTGCTTCCTAGCATGCAGATGCATCACGCCAGTGTCTGCCTCTGCCTTCACATGGCTGTCTTTCCTCTGGGTTCCTGTATTTAAATGTTTCCTTTTTATAAGAACACCAGTCATATTAGGTTAGGACCCACCATACTCCAACATGACCTTATCTTAACTAATTACATCTGCAATTGCCCTGTTTCCAAATCAGGTCACATTCACAGATACCAAGGGTTAGGACTTAAACGTATCTTTTGGGAGGGACACAATGCAACTCATAACAGCCCCTCTGGAAGAGCTCCTGTTTGACCTGGGTCTTTAAGAAGCAATTGTTTAGGGGGATGACGAAGGAGAAGGAAGGTGTTGAGGGAGAGATGGCCAGCTTGGGCAAGCTGAGGCAACAGCACTTTGTTCCTGTTTCCTCTCTGACATAACAAGAAACACGAGTGAGAAAGTATTTTTTTACTTGCCTGTGACATCCCCAACTGGAGCATGTTCCTGCTCTCTGGCACCATGTGCTTTATTTAGATGAGGCAGAGTAGGGCCAGTAGCCAGGGGCTTTATGCTATTATCATCATTGTCATGGGAGGAGATAGGCAGACATTAGAGCTGCCTTTGTGGACTGGGCCCCCTCCTGGCTTTCAAGTGGGGAGAGGCCCTGTCCCTGGCTGCCCTGATGTTTCATTCTGGTCATCTCCAGTGTGCCCAGGAGGGACAGAGATGAACAACCCACTGATATGGCCTTCCATGGGCTTCCAGTCTAAGTTGGAGTCAAGCGCTAGGGTCAACAACCAGGCTCACCCACCTCCTTGCCTTCACCTTGGTTCCTCCAATCCCTCCTCCTCCTGGGGACCCTAGAGTGGCCTTTCTAAAATGCTACTCTGATCATATCAAGCCCCTTGGCCCACACTTTAAGCTCATCCTGTGGCTTCCCTTTGCTACACCATATCTGTTTTTGGCATTTAAGATACTTGCCAGCCTCCACCGCCCCTTCCCCATCTCCCTCTGTCTGCATTGGGGGCTTCAACAGGGCAGGGCCAAGGCTTACCCCATTTGTACCCCAGCATCCAGCCCGGAGCTCAGGGGCAACCAAAGGAAGGAGTGATTGGCTGTAATGTAACCTGGACTGGGTCTTAAAGGATGGCTTAGGCTCTCTGTGGACCTGAAGAGGTGTGGTTTGGGGTGAAGGGTACACCCATCAAAGCCAGGGAGCTCTAGGTTCTCTCCATCCCTGGCCATCACCATGACCCAAGTCGGTTGGGTGTCAGGCCCTGCAATGGGCCCCCCCCAAAAAAATACATTGGACTTGAAGGAATGTGTGCTGTCAACCACAGACCAGGCTCTGGACACCAGAACCCTTAAAAGGGCCCACTGAGCACTGAGAATATCTGATTCTCTGTGGGCTCACAGGGCCTGGTCACTTCCTTTCATTCCTCAGCCCCTGCCTTCCCTCTCCCACTGGCTCTCACTTAAAATTTGGTTTGTAGGTTCCCTAGGCATCTTATTCATCATCAGCCTGAATTAGCCAATCAACTCAGAATTCCCACTGGCCTCACAAATAGCTACTTTGGGCACTCCAGTAGAGCCATAAGCAGAGTTAATGACTGCAAGCTACTAACAGGATGTTGGGGCTGGGTGCTTCCATTTTCACCCAGAGGTCCCCTCTCTGTGCCTGAAGGGGGCTGGGATTGAGGGTGGGAGACTGAGGAAGGGGTCCTTCACTCCCCCCTTCCTCTGGAGCCTGGAGATCAGTGGTTCAAGCTCCACTGCAGCACCAAGAAGGTTCAAGGTGAAAGAGGAGACAAGAAGGGAAAAGAAAGCAATAGGTCTGGGTGTCCCACTGCACTAGCCAGGAGGTTCCTGAGGGAGTACTCCCTTGGATGCCCAGAACAGATGGATAGACCTTTCTTACCAGCAACTCTCTGGCTCTTTCCTTTGGCTACAGTGCAAGAGGTAAGGAGATTGTCCACCTGCAGATCATGACGCCTAGGGCGGGACTCCGCCTCATGGCCCCAAACGTGGAAGGAATGAGGTACCAAGGCCCTGCTGCTGTCTGGGCTCCTTCCACACCATTGTAGGGGTGGGTTCAGCAGGCAAATGATGAGGACTTGGGTCTGGTTGTTGGAAGCATGGTCAACCTAGGTTCTCTGCCCCCATATCATTCTTTCACTCTGCAACTCTTGCAGAGCAAGCACTTGTGGAAGTCCAGACTCTACTCTGGAGACCCAGCAGAGATCCAGGAGACCTCCTGGCTAGAGCTGCTGACTGTCTGCCTGGTGGGGAGGCAGATGCAGATACAAGCCAGCTGTGGTGGCTCAGCCCTGCCGAGCCCTGAGGACAGGACTGGCCAGCTGTGCTGGGTGGGGACAGGGGCTCTGCGAAGCCCCATGACATCACTGGACCAGTGGCCCTGCCTGTGTGCGGGCAGCCACAGGGCTGGGGTGTGGTCACTGGGTCAGCCTTGAGAGCACATGATGCCACCATGCCTGGTGCTGCGGAGGGTGAGGGATGCCACAACCAGCAGGGAGCACAGCAGACCCAGCCCCTGTCCCAGGGGAGTAGGCAGATGGCCAGGTAACAGGCAGGCAGAATTTGGGGGGTTGGGAGCTGAGCAAGAGGAGATCTGAGCAGGGAGGGGCCACTTCTCCCTAGAGGGGCAGGCCTGCTTCTCTGTAGCACTCTCTCTCCTGCCCACTTAGCTATTCACCCATCTAGCCTTCACTGAGCCCCTGCGGAACATCTGACCCCGATGCCAGGGGCTGGGAAGCAGCTGTGATGCACCAGATTGGGACTCTGCTATATGAAGCCTAGAGTCTGGGGAGAGAGGTCAGAGTGTATTCCCAAGATAATCTCTGAGACACTGGGATCTTAGAGCAGGGGCCTGTCACCAGCGTGGGGATGGGGGCAGTTAGGGAAGGCTCCTGGGAGGAAGTTACATCCGAGACGAGTCCTGATGGATCTCTAGGTCCCTTTCCTCTCCTCCTTGGCTCCTCCCTCTCTACAGCCCTGTCCCAGTCAGGCACTGAGTCCTGTCCCTTCTATTTTAGAGACATTCTTTTCCCTACTGCCCTCTCCTGGGCCCAGGCCTCAACCATCACTCACCCAGCTGTCTGCAACCATCTTTTAGGGCCCTATCTCCAGAACCTCCTTCACATCTCTACCTGGGTAACATTTCTAAAAGGCAGAAATAGTCATGCCAGCCCACTGAGGAAAACCCTACAACGGAGGTCCCCATTTAGATTCTGTAGCCTGAATTTGCTACCTCACTGGCCCCTTCCCCTCAGTCTCTTCCCTGGCTTCCCTCATATACCCTCTCTCCCTGGGCCCTCCACTCCAGTCTTCCAGGCCTCCATGTGTCCCCCAGCACTATTCCTCTGTGCAGGCTGTAGGCTCTGCCTGGGATGCGCTTTTCTCTCTGAAATTTTAAGTCCCCTTACAGATGTCTCTCTTCTGGGGCACCTCCCTCCCTGCGTTTCTTTCTACGGTAAGTATCTGTGAAGAGCTTCCCCCACTGAGCTCTCATAATGCTGTCTTCATACCTCCACCAGAGAATCTTCTACACAGTTGTCCTCTCATGGATCAGTTTGCCCCAATACCCCTGAGTGCCTGGAGGGCAGAGGCTTCATTCCCTTTAGGCCCCAGCACAGAGCGTGGCCCAAAACAGGAGTGCAAGAGTGTTTGCTACTGGAATGATAGAGAATCATCCGGTGTGACAATGTCTTTAACAAGGCAACAATGGAAGCTACTTCATTGGTTTTCCTAAGGTGACCAGTCTCTGGGAAATGGGCAAAGTGACCCCCAGAAATACAGGAGGAAGCCAGGCTGCCTCTGAGGAAACCATAAGGCCTCTGACGCTTGGTCTGGGAGTGGCCAAGCTACAACAGCCCATTGAGAGCTCCTGGAGCACCCTTCTCCCACTTTCTAACAAAAGAATCAAGTTAGAAAGAAGGAAAGCTAGAATTCTCCAAGCCCTGTCCTGTCCCAAGTAGGTGCAGTCACTATGCACTATGTCCATTTTACAGATGGGGAAACAGACCCTGACGGGTCACAAGGCCAAGAGCAGGCATATCCAAGACTTCCACCCAGACTGCCTGGCTCCTACCCTGCACTTTTTGCTTCATAACTCACTATACTAGTGGGAACCAAGGGGAGGCATGATACAAATACTTACTATTTTTTTTAGATTTTATTTATTTATTTTTGGAGAAGGGAAGGGAGGGAGAAAGAGAGGGAGAGAAACATCAATGTGTGGTTGTCTCTCGAGTGCCCCCTACCGGGGCCGTGGCCTGCAACCCAGGCATGTGCCCTGGCCGGGAATCAAACCAGCAAACCCCCAGTTCACAGGCCAGCACTCAATCCACTAAACCACACCAGCCAGGGGAAATACTTAGGTTTTGTTTGTTTGTTTGTTTGTTGTTGTTTTTTGCGTGAACATATGGTGTGACTATTTGTAGGCATCCAAATGCATATTACTAGGAGTAATTCGAGGGTTTGTGACTGAGCTGTGGGAGAGAAGTCAGGGCTCAAGATGTTTCTATGTTATATGCAGACAATTGAGAGCTGAAATAATGGGGCTTAATGTTGATGTTCACATGGGGTACGATGTCAAGGTAATCAAGGAGACAGGGGCCAGCAAGCTGGGCATAGACCGCAGTATGGAGGAAGCAGATGCTTGGTCATCCCCCCTTAGGGCAGCTGGGGGCAGTAGTCAGGTCTGGCACGGTTTAGCATTAGCTGCCAGAAGGTCAGTCTGGCAGACAGCAAGGGTATGGGTCAGGAACATGAAGGAGAGGTGGAAACAAGCAGAGGGGGGCAGCTGATTTCATGGGAACCAAGCAGGCAGCCAAGGTGACAAAGCATGCAGGTGGAGATGAACACTGGGAACACCACAGTTTAAGGGGCTGAAGAGAAAAAGGCAAAGGAGACTGAGAAGGTGTGGCAAAGGAGGTAGAGTGTGATGTCACAGAACCACGATGGATGGTTGGGGGAGAGAAGGTGATGATGTTCCACTGGGTCAGTGGTTCTGAATGGCAATAATAATATAAGTGTCTCTGTTGGGTTTGACACCATGAGGCTCCCTGATAACCTCAGAGAACAGGAGGTTAAGATCAGGCTTACACCGCAGAAGATTATAGTTCAGAACTCTGAAGTCAGACTGCCAGGGTTCAATTCCTGGCTCTCCCCCTTTGTTATCTGTGGAACTTGGTATTAGTCGCTCAGGCTCTCTGTGCCTCATTTTGCCCATCTGGCAAGTAGACATGGATAGTAACAATGCCCCTGTCTTTGGGTTGATATGGAGAGTTAATGTATGCAGAGTCATGGTCTGGCCCTCAATCAACAGTAGTTATTAGTAATGAGATTTGAGAATTGGTCAGTCCTGAAATATGAGGTTTTAAGCTCCTTGGAGATAGCTGACATTTGGTGATGCGGTAACTGCCTCCACCTGAGTGTGGTTGGCTGCTGCTTTGTTAATTTATGTTTCTTTCCTCTGTAGACCTCCCCTGGACTCCAAAGACAAAGAAGCCCACAGCCCCAGCGAGCCTAAGAGAGACTTGGCTGGTGAGGAGGCCTTTAAGGGCCCCAGTCCAGACTCTGAAAGGTAACTCAGTGGAGAGACATAGAGCCCACGTGGCTCCCAGTCCAAGGTCTATGGGTGGAATTGGGATCAAGACTGTTCTACTCACTGTTCTCAGTGAATTATCTGTTAGAAGAATGAATGAAGGAATACATGAGGCCTAGAGAGGGGCAGGCCCTTGCCAAGGTCCCTTAGGGAACTAGTTGCAGAGGGAGATGAACCTCCAGGCCAGGCCACCCCCACTCCAGCCCTTGGCCCAACCTCACTGTGCTTTCTCTTCATTGAAAGCAGCCCTGCTGATGGCCAGGGCAAGCAAGGCTGCCAAGGTATCAATATGGGAAAGTCAGTGACCAAAGGATGCATGGGCCCCAGCAGAGCATCTAACAGAGACTTCAAGGATGACCTATGGACAAAGGGAGACATGGTGGGGAGGGCGCCAAGGATGGGAGGTAGAGGCATGGTGAGGAATGATGAGTCCAGAGGGGATGGTTGTGCCCAGCCATCCTACAACCATCCCACTGACCGGGGGAGCCTGTATAAAGTGATCAGTGGCTGAAAGCTGGGCATTTCCACAGGAAGGAAGCTGGTAGCCAGTAGTGGACAGGAGCCCACCATCTTCTAGTGTGGAATCCCACATTCTAGCTGGGATTCAGCCATGGGAATGAGGGAAGAGAGGTCCAGGATGGGTGGGGGAGATTTGTCTCTGCCCTGGGATCTATGGTTTAATTATTAGTGGCCCCAAATGCCTGTGCCATGTTGTGTTGGCCATTGCCCACCTTCATTGTGCCACCCTCCTCCTGAGTTGCCACCTTGCTCTGTTTCTTGGTTCCACTCCTGCTCCCAGACCTAGAGGTTTGGAAGAAAAGCGGAAATACTTGCTGATATTGCCTTGGTTCCCGTTGGAGCGGTATAGGGTAACAGCCCAGGATTCAGGTTTGTGGTCCTTGAGACTCACTCTCAGGGCATCTGAGTTGGATTAAATCAAAACCCAATCAGAGTCAGCAAATGCCTCTCTTTCCACAGCAGGTCAAGTGCACAATCAAGGGATGGCAACATGGGATCCAGAGCCATGAGCTCCCTACCTGAAAGCTTGGCTGGAACAGACATCAGCTCTGGGAGAGGAGGGTGAGCTGCCCAGGGGAAGCAGAACCAAGTTGTTGATTCTCTCATGTCCCTGGTGACAGGCCAAGGTCAAGCAGCTAAAATTGCTTGGGCTGCTGGGGGCAGAGCACTGGTCATTTCCATATTCCATCTCCCATCTCTAGCACTTCAGCCCCCACCACATCCTTTGTCCCTAGGTTTACCACTTCTGGAATTACCTATGCTTGAATCTTACTCGTCCTCCTCCCCTCTGCCACTGGCTCTCAAACTCCTCCAGACAGGCAAAAGGGTCCACTTGCAACTGGAGGTCCAGCCCTAGACAGGCACTGGGTAGATAGAATGAGTGAAGGGACAAACTAACAAATGAATGACCAAATGGTGGATGAATTGGTGCCTTCTTGCTTCTTGGCTGAGCTCTGAGAACAAGCTGGAAGCTGCTTTCTCCCTTCCCTTCCAAAAGCCCCAAAGCCTGCTTTTCCCACCCCACCCTCTTCCCTGGCAAGGTCTGCACTGAGCTTTGGTGAGAGAAAAAACAGTGGCCCCAGTAAGACAAGCTAGGAGACCAGCATGGGCTCTCAGCTAGGAGACAAGCTGGGATCTAAGTTCTTGGACCTGGGTAGAGTCAGGGGCCACTTACTCAGGAGGTTCAGAAAGTAACAAGGTCCCACCTGTCCCTAAGTGGCTCCAAACGAAGCATGAGTCATCCTCGTGACAAAGATTAGGTATGTAGATGTTGGCACAGATAGTTCAGCTTTGAGCTGTGCTAGAACCCTTATGTTCAGAAGAGATGGCCAGAGAAGAATGTCAATGCCTGCAGAGAGCCTGATCGCACACTGCCCGCCAGCACTCTGCCCTAGGGCAGTCAGGCTGTGGAAGACATTCCAAGGAGGGGCCCCTGCTGACTACTTTCCCCACTGGCCCTCCCAGCTGGTCCTGCATCCCCAAGCCCACTGGGGTCTGCCTGCCCTCACTAACTTGACTAGTTTGCAGCTGATGTTTCAACCCGGGATCCTGACTTTCAAATCCAGAAACCCAAGCCAACATGGAAAGGGGACAACAGGCCCCATCCTCTGACCACTGTGCCTCAGTAGGTGCCAGGAAAGGCCACTGGGCCAGGGCCTCAGTTTTTTGAGCTGTCACTTGTGGGGAGGACTGTGCAAGAGCCAACACCTGCAGCCTGCATCACTGTGTGCTGGCCAGCAAGTTGTCCAGATTGACTCAATTGGCTGGTGGCCGTCATGGAAGACCCCTGGTCCAATGTGATTGGGTCTGGTTCTTGGCTGCTTCATTTTTGAATATTCATCCAGGTCATCCTTCTTGCTTACATACCCTCCCAAAATGAAGTTTTTGCTTGCTGCTTTCAGTTTCTTTAAAATGAAGCCAAACCTCAAATTAACTTGCAAAACAAGCTGAAGAACTTTCTAGGTTTCTATGATTTTTTAAAAGGTTTTATTTGGTTGCAGGTACAATTGGTGTGAATAGGTTTAGGAACAAACACAAGAAAGTTTTAGTGAGTGTGCTATGTAAATGAAGGGTGCAGGCTTGCATTGCACAGGTAATAAGATGTCCTGTCAGCTGTGACTGCTTGGCGTGCTATGAGGGTCAGTCTGACTGAAAGGTGGAGAATGTGGCCTAGCCCTGGGAAGGCCAGGGAGCAGAGCACCTACTCAATGTGTACCAAGTTTATGGATACATATGTACAGTAAATGGTCACAGGGCTCAGCATTAATAACAGGAACACTTCAGCACATGCTAGGGCCCAGGCCTTATTCTAAGTAGTTGGCATCTGTCAACTCACTATTCTCAGAAAACTTATGAGGCAGATACAATTATCATCCCCATTTCACTGAAGATAAAACTGAGGCCCAAAGAAGTCAGGTGGTGAGTCCAAAGTGACACAGTTGTGAGGTAGTAAAGCTGTGATTTGAATCCAGGCAATGTGCCTCCAGGGAGAGTGGACTTAACCACTAGGCAACACTGCCCCAGTATCAGGTAGCTGTGAGACATGACTATTGTGCCCTGAGCATCCAGTGAGCAGCTCCTCAGTTCCCATCATCTGTCAGGATCAGAAGCCACCCTCTCAAGAAGGAGTAGACATACAGACTCAAAGTCCTGAAACCAGACTGAGCTTGGCCTCCTTCCACAGGGTGTGCTCAGCTGCTGGCTTCACCCCTCTCCTGGATGATGAGGATGTGCTCGGTGCCAACTTTCACCCTCGTAAACCTGGATCAGCGGCCACCAGGTAAGGGTGGGGCGACTATCTGGTGATCATTCCCACTGCCAGGCACAGACAGCCTTCAGGTTTCAGCCTCAGCTCCAGTGCCCCAGAACACCCCTCACACTTCTCAGGGTCCTGCCACTTTCCTATCAGGTGATCACCACAGGAGAGGGAAGGTTGGGACGGGCCCTGACCTGCAGCTCAACACACACACTAGGGGCAGTAGGGGAGGGAGGACAAATGATAAGTAAGGGGACCCAGACAGCCCAGCACCTACCCACAGGGACCCAAGTTGAGGTGGCAGAAGGGGGACATCAGGAGGCAGAAGTTGGGAAGAGACCCTGCTAAGCGGTCTCAGTGAACCTCTCCCGTGGGGACTGCAGCCTGGCCCAGCAAGCAGGAGTCGAGGGGGAGGAATCCCAGGGAGCACACAGAGGCAGTTGGGGAGGGCACATGGCTCCAGGGGCACAAAGGTACAATGGGAAGAGGTTGTGCATTCTGAGGCTGCAGGCTTCTGCCTTATTTCATCTACCAATCCACCAGTGAGAGCAGTCATTTTGCTGTGGGCATGTTGAGCATTTAGTAAGGGAAGGTCTTTCTGGACTCCCAAGAGGTGTTGGTTGGGCAAGGACACTGAAATCTAAAATCAGGAGACGTTCTTGGGGACCCTCATGCTGGTCAGGCAATACTTTGCCTTGAACTCAGGTGCTAAGGCTACAGCCAGGGCTCATAAGATTTTACCACTCACAGTAGTGTCTGTGCCACACTAATGGCAAGACAGAGGTCAGCATTTACTGAAAGATATAGGCACCCTTTCATGTGAGAAGACAGCTGGGAAGGGGAAGGCCTGGGCCCCTAGTCTCCTTTGATCTGAGGCCTCAGTGGTTCTGTGTGCTTCCTCCCTCAGCTGTGTTGCCACTTTGGCCTCTGCTGTACCAGCTGACATAAAGAGCGATAGCCCAGCAGACCTGGAGAACATGGAGGCAAACTTGAAGGGGTAAGACATTAGCCAACAGTGCTGAGCTTCTGTGGTGGAGACAGGCAACTCAGGTTTACCTTTGGCTGGAAAGTGAAGGCCAGCGAGGCCTATGAGCTGGCCCAATGCACAGTGCACATGGCGAGGCCTTGTGCTCTAGCTGAAAGCCACAGCTGAAACCCTGTGGTCTCTGCCTCTGGGTCTATGGAGCCTTCCACTACATCATGTTGCCTTTAGCCAGGAAGTCTTCCACCATCAGTCAGCAACCACTCAGACAGCAAATGCCCTGTGCTGGAGGCTGAAGCACACAGACAAATCAGACATGGCTGATGGGGAGCAAAGCCTGGCCCAGACAGGAGCAACATATCATGCTGCAGCAGGCGAAGGGGCGCAGGCATAGTGGCTTCGTGGGGAAGGTGGCTTTTGAACTGAATCTTGAAAGGTGAATAGGAGTCCTCCAAGCAAAGGGAACAGTATTTACAAAGGGCTCCAATAAACCTGGTGTTTTCTGGGCATTGCATGTAGCTGAGTGTGACTGGCACTGAAGGTCCTTGTGGGGGTATGGTGGAACAGGAACTTTGTTAAAGATCACAACAGTTACTTAGCTTTGGGGCACATGCTTTGTACCCTGCCCTCTACTCGCAATCTCTCACTCATACAGCCCTCCCCAGAGTCCTGTAGGATTTGCACCTAATTAGAATGAAGATCAAAGATTTGGAACCCAAGTCTCTGTGCCTCCTGGGAAGAACAGTGCTCTGAAAGAAACAGCCAGCGTGCTGAGATAGAATGATGGCAGTGAGCAGGGCTACTGCTTAGATGGGTAGAGAGAGGGAGGTGACTCAAAGTGAGCTCCTCTAAGGAGAAGGAACTCTAGAAAGAGCAAGGAGAAAAAAGCTGCATAGAGGGAACTGCAAACCTAAAACCCCTGCAGTGGGAACCTGCTCAGCATGTTCCAAAGCATATAGTGGCTGGAGCCTTGCCAGTAAGGGGGGACCATAGATGGAGCAAAGCCTTGGTAAGCCATGAAAAAAAAGGTTGGATCTTATTTCAAGTTTAAGATGAAGAGGAACATGGTCTAAGTTAGATGTTTAAAAGGTGAGTGCATTTTTGCATTTTCACACCACACTGCAGTTACTTCTTTACATGTGACCAGGCTGGAAACTACACTTTCCTCTGATACGTAAAAGTTTGCAAAACAAGCAGCCAAAAAGGGCTCCCGTGGCCCCGATCCTCCTTGGCAGGGTGCCCTGGAATCAGTCGTCCCTGGACCCTGGTTTTCAGAGCTGTGCGGGGGCAGGGCCTGTGACACGTAGGGAGGACAACTGGAGCATACACTCACAAGGGACCCCAGGGAGGACCTACCTGCTTTCTTGAACAGTGTTTTACAAGTCTGGCTGCACTTGAGAATCACTCGGGAAGTGTTTTTAAACATTAAAAAAAAAAAAAAACTTCCCGAGCTCTACGCAGAAATTGGATTTAGTTGCTCTGGGGTGGGACTCCGCCATCAATGTCTTTTTTAAAAGCTCCCGGTTTCTTCTTATGTCCAGTCTAGGTTAAGAACTATTGTTGTAGGGAACTGGTTCTGAACCTCCCCACCGTCTAGGGGTCATTTGGCAATGTCTGGAGACACTAGTGATTCTCACAGCTGGAAAGAAGGTGCTTCTTGAAAACTAGTTGGTGGAAACCAGGGATGGTGCCCAAAGTCCTATAATGCACAGTATCCAGTACAAAATGTCAACAGAGACGAAGTTGACAAGCCCTGTTCAAGAGCTTTCACGACCTCTATGGAAAGCCAGGAGATTCTAGGCTGAGAAGAAAAAAGGGTGGACGCAAAGAAAACCTATGAGTCTTTCACGGGTCTGGGCAGCGAGACAGGATGCGCGCCTGCGCGCGTTTGCACCTTGTGGGGCAAGGGACCCTGTGTGCGCCTGCGCGCGCCTGTCCCGCGTTCGGCCTTCGCCCGGGTGCGTGCGTGCGCCCGCGCCCGACCTGCGTGCGTGCGTGCTCTTGCGCCTGGCCTGCGTGCCTGCGCCCCGCCTACGTGCGAGCGTCTGCGTCCAAGCATGGAAACCTTTCCGCGTGCGCCTGCGCGCGCGTGCCTTGCGCTCGTGCGTGCGTGCGCCTGCGCCCAAGCATGGAAACCTTTCCGCGTGCGCCTGCGCGTGCGAGTCTTGAGCGCCTGCGCCGTGTGTGCGTGCGTGCGCGCGCGCGCGCGCGCGCCGCCATTTCCCTGCAGCCGCAAGCTCTGGTCGCAGTGCCTGTCGGGAAATGTGACTCTCCACAAAGCGAAATGGCTGCCCACCCAGAAAATAGGTTTCTCGCGCTTCTCTGGCGTCCGTGCCCGCGCTGGCCGATAGATGGCGCGCGAGGATCACAGATGGGCCGGGCCACTTGGACTCCCGCTGCCCTTCCCCCGTAGGCCGGGTGAACGCGGTGTCCCACTCTCCATGGAGTTGAAGCTCCTTCTACCGCCGCAGTTCAAGCGGAGGCGGAAGAGGAGAAGAGAGTTGAGTACCCGCAAGCAGCCGAAATGCGCTCCCGTGGCCCCGATCCTCCTTGGCAGGGTGCCCTGGAGTCAGTCTTCCCTGGACCCTGGTCCTCAGAGCTGTGCGGGGGCAGGGCCTGTGACACGTAGGGAGGGCAGCTGGACCATCCACTCACGAGGGACCCCAGGGCGGACCTACCTGCTCTGCGTTCTGGGGCTCGGTGGGGAGGAGCTTAGTTCCCAAGAGCTGGGGGTGGGCGGGGAGATCCTGTAGGGCAATGTAACTGTCCCAAACTTGAGGAATTCTGCCCTAACTTGATCTTGCTTCATCATACGTACAGAAAGAGGTGATATGGTAGAGTAATTAAGAGCCTGGACGCCAGTGCTTGATATTAAATTTAAGTTCTGTGACTTAGTTGCTCTGTGACCTTACGTATCTTACTCATCAACTGTGTGCTTCAATTTCCTCACCTGCAGAATAGACGTAATAATAGTTCGTATCACACAGGGTTGCTGATAGGTTAATGGATTTGTATGTGTAAAGCATTTCGTGGCACAAAGTTTATGAAAACTTAGAACTAAAGAAGCAGCCCGAAAGGAATGCCTCCTTCCACCATAGCTACTCAAGGACACTCAGGAAGCTGGCCTCTGCTCCCCTTCACCAGCTTTATTGATTTCACTTAATAAGAGAGTAGCTCATGTTCTCCCCACTAAACTTTTTATTATTAGGCTTTACATCTAACACATAAACTATTTTCCTCTTTGTTTTGTTGCAATCTGGGCATTTCAGGCTTATGTTCTTTCTGCATGAAGAACAGGTGAAGTTTAAGCAAATTTATTCACTGAAGACTACTGTTGTCAATCAGTAGAGGAGTCTGTTGGAGGTAATACAAGAGTGGAAGGTGGTGTTCTTTACCATGCAGTGATTGTGATTGTGTTGAGAATTGGCAGAAGTTGTACTGGGCTATTAGATCTTTGATATAGTGACAGCCAAAAGTGTTACCTTGCCTATCTCTAAATGCTTGACTTCCAGATAATGCATTACGGGCCTGGAAGGCCTCAAGGCTGTTACATTGCTCAGCAAGACTTCCTGTGACATTTTGCTAAGATTTCCTTTTTATGCATCACATGGGTTATACCTCCTATAATTGTACGCCGAGGGTGAGGGAGCCTTATTCACACTTGTCCCTGTGTTGCAGTAGACTCCCAAATTGGTCTTTGAAGACATTTTGGCTTTATTCACAAATTTGGTGAGGACAACCTCTATTACTATAACTCTATAGAGGACATGGGATACAACAGGACTCTGATTAAGTCCACAGAAAAGCTAGTTCAGGGTTCCCATTAAGCAAAGTCTTTAGGCCTTCCAGGTTTATCTTTGGCTCAAGCATGTATGTCACAGGCAGAGCTGAAGGTGGTGTGTCAGGATATCCTGCTGCTAAAAGACTTGCATTATCTATGCAGAGCATTTTTGGTATCTGTCTGGGCTGCAGCAGACTGTCAGTAAAAGCAGCACAGCAGGGCACAGTACTCACTTGCCTGCAGATCTGCCAGGTGTAGCTGGAAATGGTGTTTGGCTTCTACTTGCTGGGGTATTTTGGTTCCCTCCACCTGAGGCTGAAGAGTCATGTTGCTTTCATGGCATACTCTTCAAAAAGTATGGTCATTGCTTCCCTGTTATTCCAGCCTGAAGGCAGGCAATCTTCCTACTCTAGGATTAACTTGCATAAATCAAGAGTCCCAGGGCTGGAGGTAGCCGGTGGTGTGGTCTTGTGCCTGGGTAGCCCCACTGCCAATTGAAGGCAGGTTGCTAATTTTGGGAGGTTTGAGTTCAGGATGAGCCAGAATCAAGGTGAAGGTTAACTCGGTTTTCATTTTATAGAATGCTTGGCTTATGCTGTCAATAACCTGGCTTAGTCTTTCCCTCTGGCCTAGTGGGCATATGACATTTTTAGTGTGTGAGGCTACCAGGCGGCAGCAGCATCACATAGGATAGAGGTTCTGGAGGAGGGACCAGCAGAGAGAACAAAGCCCTTGGAAGCACCTTAGGAAAAGGATCGTGATGGGAGGAGTGTACAAATGTTGGTGTGATATGAGACCAGGGAAGAAGGAAGACCTTCCGAAGAGCTTGATGCCTGGGATGGCTAGGAAGCCACTCCCTCCCTGCTGAATTCATGGGGTGGCAAAAGCATAAGACTCAGGCTTCACCTAGTACATTTGGGGATGGCCTTTGTCGGTGGGAAGGGAGTAGCAGTACTGGGGTCCTCCCGAGGGAGAAGCAGACTGCTTCCCGATGTGGAGGACGTGCTGCGCTCCTTTCTGCCCTCCCGCTCCAGGAGAGGAGCCGCTATGCCCATGGGAGGTGACATCAGCTGGCAGTGGGCGCGCAGGCTCTAGTCCCACAATGCTCTCTCCATAAGGGGGCTCGTTCTTCCTCAGATCCTCGGCTGGTTTGGAGGAGAAGAATGTGGTCGCCCAGCTGGGAGACAACTGGCAGGAGAAGCCTGCAGCCCTGCGAGGTGGCCAGGGAGGCCCAGCTGCATTTGCCCAGCATTCCGAAGACCTCAGCCCTCCAGAGGGGAGGAGCAGCCCCGCAAGACCCCAGCAGCTCATGGATTTGGAGAGCCAGGCCGGCAGGTAAGTGCTCTCAGTGCTGGGCTCCCACCTTCCCAAGCTGGAACTTTCTCAGGGTCCATGACCCACTGGGGCCCACATTTAGGCTAGTGCCTGGCATATCACACCCCTGGGTGCTCAGCGTGTCGCCCAGTGTGGGGTTAGAATGGTCATTCCCTGGGCACAGGGCAATATCAAGGGGCTTCCTGTGGTATAAGGAGCTGGGATGAGGCTTGTTGTGGTAGCAGGTTTCTGTCCCTGGAGATAAGAAGCCCAGGCTAATTCCTGAAGTGTAGAGCAGAAAGGAGGTCTCCCAGAGTATACATGCACTTCAGGTTGGGGGTCCCCCAGGTAGGCTGAAGGCTATTTGTGTGTTGACGGGGACAAGAAGTGAGAGAAAGCAGCAGGGTGAAGCAGCGAGGAAGAAGGTTGGAGTGAGAAAAGGAGAGCATGAGTAAGCAGGCATTTGACAGGGTGACAGTGCCATTGAGGGTGGAAGTGGGATTGTGACTGGCAATGTGTTGGTGTGTGTCTGTGTGCACAAGTGTAACTGTGACCAGAGGGGACCATGTGGTATGAGTTGAAGTGTTCAAATCAAGGCTCTCCTGACAGCATCTGAAATGCTGGCCTGTACATCTCTTGCCTTGTACAGCTTACAAACATGTTGACGGACTGCCAAGACACAGCAAGCTTGTCTTGCTTGGAGATTTCAGAGAGAGCAATTGAAAGCACTTACCATTTCCACAGATCCAAGCAAATGGTTTCTCATACATGACAGAAATACGAGAAAGGGAGAACCAAGGCTCTTTTACTCCAGGGAACAGGAAATGGTACTTATGGCTTCTATTGCATGTATAAAATACAAATGTTCATCCATCCTCACGGTACTGGAGTCCTGATACTGCAGACATTCCATAGTTAGTTAGATAGGAGTCTATTTTTAGGGCCAGTCTCTCCTGTTAGGTAAAAGGTTTTCTTAAATAAGAATATCCAACTCATCCTTGATTCCTTTGCCCATCCTTGGCCCCAGGTTAAGGAGTGTGACCCACCTTTTGACGCCCCAGGGGCCACTGACACCTTTCAGGAGAGCAAGATGACCAGACGGTTTGTAGGAAGATTCCTTCCAACTGCCATGTGTAGGATCAGGCCAGCAGGTAGACAGCTACGTGAGTCAAGACACCACTAAGGAACCTTCTGCTCATCCCAGAGAGAAGCAATGAGGCCACATTTTTTTGTTGTTGTTCTTCTATTAAGGGTAAAAGTGAGGGAAAATGCAAGCCAAGGCTGCTCCTGAAATTTCAGGGTTTGGCAACTTGGTGGTTGATGTGGGCTCCAAACTGTAACAGGAACTAGCTGAGGGCCTACAAGCAGTTTGTGGATGTGCTGTGCAGAGATATGATAGGGTCACTTGGGCTATGCTGAATGTGAACTGTCTGTAGGGACTCCAGACAATGATGTTTAATAGGCTATTGGGTAAACGGGTCTGGACAATGAGGTTGACTGGAAGGGGGGAGAATACTGTTTCCCAGGTCTTTTGTTTATTCTCCTGATCTGCCTTCCTCCTCTTCTCTTGGGAATGGCTTATTTGGTTGCCAAGTTGGGGAATGCTTGGACCCTAGGTCTCCCTGTCTTTGAAAGCACATAGCCATCAGATAGATCTGCAGCCCAGAAGGTTCCCCCTGAATTCTCTGCTTCTCCCCACAAGCATCTGGGGCCAGTCATCTTGCCAAGCCCTTGGCTGGATGATTGAGTCCCTGTGGTTCAGAAATGCAAGAACAGTCTTCCTTTCTGGCTTAGCATGTAAAGCCATTTGCTTCACCAGCTAACATTTATATACACTTTCTTCTCTTCTTTTGTCTCAAAAAAGAAAAAATAGGGGGGGGGGTGATAATTATTGGCTTTCTAAAATTCCCACCAAACATATAAAAAGAATAAAGGTAAAAAATAAGAGAGAAACAAAGGCAGATGGGTCAGAATTCTGGAAGATAATACTGAAGGGTCTTCTAGAAAAAGAGGACCTGAGGAAAGGTATTGAGAGAGAAAATTTTGGATAAATGGAAGAAACTCAAAAGAATACACTCGTGAAAACCAAGCCAGGCTAAGCTAACTTTCCTGTGTGCTGTGGACCTTGAGATAGGTCCATCAGATTTGGCAACATAGAATTTATGGCTGACTTGAGGGCAGCATGTTGAGAGAGCAGAAAGGCTGTGGATGGATTGTGGTGGATTGAGGAGGGAGTGGTCAGTGAGGAGGTACAGTTGACAGAGGTACACAAGTCTTTCTAAAATGCTGGCCATGAAGTGATGGATGTGGGAGGAGTGAGCAGGTGAACAGCTACAAGATAAAGCAGAGGGCCTCGTACGGTGTGTGCTTATGTATCCAGGGGAGGAAATACCTGCCAGGTAAGATGAGTTTGCTGTTTAAAGAGAAAGTGAGCACACTTTAAGGTGAAGGGTCATTGAGGTCAAGGTGAGGGCTGGGGCGGGGGTTGTTCCAGAGCCTTGAGCAAGAAGGAGAGAGCTATGTCTCTGAGACAGGGAAGGCTGAGTGCAGACATAGGTCAGAAGGCAGGGAAAGGAATGAGCAGAGTAATGTGAGCAACTTGATTTCTTCTGTGAATTAATGAACCACACATTCCATAATTAAACCATATTTTACTTAGTGACTATATTAGCTGCTGTCAAGCTATATACTATACTGGGGATACAGACAAATAAGATTTGGCCCCTGACCTCAAGGAGTTCACAGCCCTTGAGAGTGCTAAGTGCTGACCTGTGGGTATGGATGAGGTACTATGGCAGTATACGAGAAGGAACATGTGACTTGCCTAGCCTCACAGCATCAGGGAAGGCTTCACAGAGGTGACAGTAGCTGTTCCTCTTGAAAAAGTTTGCATGGAGGTGAAGGAGGGATCCAGGAGTAAGAAGACTCTCCAATGCTACAGGGAAGATAGGTAGCAGTGCAACGTATTTGGGATGTACCCTGTGGTTTCAAATGGCTGCAATTTATGATGAGAAAGCAGTGGAGGCGTTGATGTTAGGAGGATGGCGTGCAGACAAGAGTTAACCTAGAAAGCTTGAGACTGCTCTCCTTAGAAAGGCCTGTTTGCAAGGCGGGCCCTTGGCCTCTGGGAACTTTAAAAGGTAGACAGTTCTTTACACAGATATGAACCTTTCCCTAAATGATAAGAGATAAGGCTGGTGGCATAGGTTGCTTATATAAACAATGTGCTTTATACTGAAACTCTGATTGCCTTCTGGGACCTGGGAATTTGGGTTAGTGTCAAGCAAAAAGTGCCTGTGTGACCAGCCCCCAGTGAAACCCTTGGGCTGTGACTAAAAACACTGGATTTTCATTTTGCTGATTTTGTTTGTTATCTTTCTGTGGTAATAAATCTTAGTCATGAGGACAGCTCCATGCTGAGTCTTGGAGTCCTCCAGGAGAATTACTGACCCTGGGGGTGGTCTCAGGGATACCAACACAGCATATCAATCTAATAAATGACAAAAACCACATGATCACAAAGTGATGGTCAAGGTCATATCCTTATGCCATAATAAGGACTTAGACTTTCTCCCAAGGACAAAAAGGAGCCAGTAAGATGTCTTTTTAAGTTGTGAAATATTCGTAAGATAAAAATTACTATAACTACTTTTCAGTGTACAGTTCAGTGGTATTAAGCACATTCATATTTTTGTACAACCATCGCCACCATCCATCTCCAAAACTCTTTCCATCTTGCAAAAGTGAAACTATGTCCCCATTAAACACTAACTCCCCATACCCTCCCCCCAGCTCCTGGTATCTACCACCCTATTTTGAATTTAACTATTCTACAGACCTCATGTAAGTGGGTTAATACAGTACTTGTCCTTTTGTGACTGGTATCTTTCATTTTTCATAGTGTCTTCAAGGTTCTATCCCGTTGTAGCTTGTGTCAGAATTTCCTTCATTTGTAAGGCTGAATAATATTCCAGAATATGGACATTCAGCATATTGTTTATCCATTCATCTGTCAGTGGACACTTTGGTTGCTTTCAACTTTTGACTATTGTTAATAATATTGCACTAAACATGGATATGCAAATATCTCTTTAGGATCCTACTTTGAATTCTTTTGGGTATGTACCAAGAAGTGGAATTGCTGGATCATATGGTAATTATATGTTTATATTTTTGGAGGAGCCAGCATCGTGTTTTCTACAGCAGCTGCACCATTTTATATTTCCACCTACAGAGCCAGAAAAGTTTTAAGCAGGGGAATGATATGGTCAGACTTGTGCTTGGGTTATCTCTGGTGACAGTCAGAAGAATGAACTGGATCTGGGCAGGGTGGAGGCAGGAAAAAGAGCTAGGAAATGGTTCCAGTTCTCTAGGGAAGAAATGATGGGACACCTGGTAACCATGGAGACAGAGACAGAGAGAACTGTTGAATAAGTATAGTGGACCCAGAAGTTGGTGACTAGTAAGACTTGGGGAAGCAGTGAGGTACAGGTAAGTGTCATGTCAGAAAGCCACATTCCTGGCTTGAGTGGATGGATGGAGTATGTGACCCCTTCTGGCCTGGGTGTTGGGCAAAGGATGTCCAGGCTGCCACTGCATTGCCTGGAGCCAGCTGAGGAACTGTCCAGTACATGGAGATACCTAGCCAAGGCAGCATACCTAAACAGGTTCGCAGACAAGGACACCTGAATCAAGGCTGTGGCTTCCAAGAGGATGATCTGCCTAGGCCACCCTGGCACACTACACTGTGTTTCTGAGGCGGACAGCAACACTGTTCAAGTGCCCTTCCTATCTTCCTCCTAGTAGCCCAAGTCCTGGAACATGCTGGAGTGTAACTGTGGACAAGTCCTCTTTCCTGACTCAGCAGGTTCTGTTTCCAGTCTTTAGGTCTAGTAACAGCATGGCATTTCAATAGAGTGGGTTCATTATTAACAGTGGCATTTGGAGTCTGGGCCAGGGGATCAAGCAGCCCCTCAGCCCCAGTCTGGGCATACACCAAGAGGAAAGCCGATAGGTACACCCTCTTAGTGGAAGAGGCTTGACTAGCCTGGAATTCCAGGGAGCACAGAGGGAGGCAGAATAAGAACTGCAGGGCTGTAGGCAACTGTAACAGCAGAATTGTGAGGGGGCATGAATGGAGGATAGGAAAAACCCTTGTCAGAATTTTACAATGTCTGAATCGACCAGGTCAAAATCTTGAAGAGACCAGACAGAATAGGGGATTCTCATGGGTTGGTCAGTTAATATTTCATATGGGAACAGTTGGTGTGACCCAGCTGGAGAGATTCAGAGGGCAGTCAGGTCTAAGGGTAAAATCTTTGGCCGTGGAAGATTGAGTTTTTCCATCAGTTTAGCAAACTTTCATTTTTATAGTCCATTAGCTCTATCTTTTCAGATGACTGAGGATGATAAGGACCATGTAATCTGGGGGGACAGAGCAAAAAATTTGTTGGATTTCTTGGATTACTTACCTGGTGAAAGGAATTTCTCAGTCACTTGAAAGAGCCAGAATTTCCCATGTGGGGATATTTGTTCTAAAAAAAAAAAAAAAAAAAAGTTTAGCAACATCAGTGGCAATGGCCCTTTTAAAAGGAAAAGCCTCAAACTGGTGAGAGACCAGACATACATATGGTAATCAAAACATATTTAAAAACATAAGATTTAGGAACAGAATTAAATCAAGTTTCCAATGAAGAAAAGGTCCTAAACATTTGTATATTAACAAAATTCCACAGGTAAGCAATGTGAACTTCCAATCGCAAAACACTACCTTAGAATACACTGGATTTCATGTTAAAAAGTAAAATTGCAACTAAGTTAACATTTAAAAATAGTTGAAATTATGGCTAATAACACTGTGCTGCTGTTGTCTAATATCAGGCAAGGCAGCACCAGGACTCTGAGAAATGAAAGCATATCATGGGCAGTGAGGGCAGTGACAAATCTCTAAGAATTTTATATAATTTCTGAAATATTTATATAATTAAAATTTTACCTACTAAAATTTAATTTAGTAAAGACATTAATTATTGGGGGGGGATTGCATAATGCTTTCCATGCAATTTATACAATATTAAACAAACCTAATTATTTTTAGCACCTATCTTGTTACAAGGTGAAAGAACAAACAAATCCTTTCAGTCCTTTGGGAAATCCCACTGTCAGTTTTAGGTGTAAAAGAGAGCCCACATTTGGTTTATGGAATGCGAAATGTATGTTATCAGGAGGTTTGGACATATCATTAAATAAGATTATGGGATAGTGATAATACTTGATTATCTGTTGAATCAAAGTGACAAAAATTTTAAAGTAAGCATAGGAGGTGATGTGACTGTAAAGATTCTTAGCTCCTTTAAAGTTACAAACCCTTTTAAAAATAACTGAAGACATGATTAAGTCAACATAAAGGATAGGACATATATTTGGTAAGACAAAAAGTTTGCCTTTTACACAGATTACGCAGAAGGAAATAAAGTCATTTATAAACTCATTTATAAACTTTTATTAAGAGCAGACCATTGATCCAAGGAAGTTTTGTTATTTTAACAAAGAAAAGCCAGGTTTTAGTTATGCATCAGTATAAGATTTGATACTAGAGCTCTTTTGTGAAAATCTTACAGTCTCATTAAATTTTAGTCAATTTTGACCATGCCAATTAAAATTTCTTTTCTGTGAGCCTTTTATAATTTGAAAAATATCCATTTACATTTTGTCTTATATTTATTGGAACCACTAGTTATTTTAATTTAGGACAAAACTATTCTTTTCCGTTAGCATAAACATATTTGCGTATCTTGCATTCAAAGTTGTTCCCCTTTGCCATTATTACTGTTAGCAGTCACATTTATAAATATCAATTATAATTTTTAACTATTAGTAACTTCTATTTCACAGAGAAAACTAGGAGGTAGATCCTTTTGAACTGTCTGTCATATACAGCATTTGGTAGGCTAGTAACATTTATGAATATATATCCCATAAAAACTTATATACCTCTTATGGTATTTTTTTCAGTGTAGACAAATGAACCCATTTATTAACAGATCCAAATACAACCTCTCTGTGCTACATAAAATAAGCAAAATGTATGTAAATTTAAAATTAGGCTTAGTAACTGATGTTTCAGTATTTTATCTTACTTAAAAATGATCTAGGTATTTAATGAGTAGCCATTAATGAATTTAATGTAGCATAAGTGTAAGGGTTTTTAAAAAGATTTTTTAAAATTTATTTTTAGAGAGAGGGGAAGGGAGAGAGAAAAAGAGGGAGGGAAACACTGATGTGCGAGAGATACATTGATTGGTTGTCTCTCGCACATCCTCAACTGGGGACCTGGCCCACAACCCAGGCATGTGTCCTGACTGGGAATTGAACCAGCAGGCTTTTGCTTTGTAGGACGATACCCAACCCACTGAGCCACACCAGGCAGGGCATAAGTCTGAGGTTTTAAGTTACCCAGAAGATCTTGGAAACTGTTTTAAAGCTGATGTATTATAAAACAGAATTACTGTTGAAATAAAGTTTTCAGAAAAATGACTCTGTTTAGTTAAAAGCAAATTCATATTTTTATAATCTTAAACATCTAGTAGATGTAATACTAGCTTATTTGACCAGTAAACCTGTTTTATGTTTTAAAAGAGTATGCCCAAGTAGAATAAAAATATATGCTTTTGTTAACTGTAATGTTTATAACTCATGACACATAGCTGTTTTTTAAAAAATTAACTAGTCTGGCAAAGATTTACTTAAATTCTTTGTGCTTGAATTTTTAAAAATATTTGGGCTAGTTTTTATAAGAATACTTTATTTTATACATTCAGGTATTAGAAATTGTTTAATTTATGAGAGTTTTAGGTATATTCAACTTATATAAGTGCTATTTCTCTTTAAGTCAATTGGAATAAACCATAAGGTATTTTGTTGTTAATTTGGTAATACTATCCAGAGTCAAGAAAATACTACATATATATAACATACAAATAAACATAAACGCACAGAAAGAAAGAGAGATTTTATGGCATTAATTCTAAATTTACAGCCATGAGTCAGGTATAAATACAGAAACACAAAATGCACTGGTTTTAATAAGAGTAGTAAGAGTTGGTTCTAGTTTTTGCCTCGCTTTATATTTTTATCAGAATTATGTTTCTGGCACATGGGACAAGTTGAGGTTACCTGTGCAATATTAAGGGTAAAGCTTTCTACCACTATTTATGGAAGAGGCTTTTAAGAATTTTTTGGGGGGGCCCTGATATGTAACGTTAAGGAAACTGTAGACTAAATTTGGGGTGAGGGACCAAGGAGATAGCAAACATCAGTTGGGGTGTCTCGAAAGCTCATCTACCTGGATAAAATATCCAAATCATTTCCAGTTAGTTTTTTCAGCCCCCGGTGATTGATTTTGGGGTACCTGAAATCCTGAAGAGCCTCCAATGGGGGCAGGGGCCTAAAGGGTATGATACTGGTCTAGACACATGGCGGTAGGGAGGTTCTTCAGCACAGCTGGTTTGACAGGGAGAAGAGAATAAAGAAGTGAGTGCCAATAGCTCTTTCAAGAAGTTTGGCGGTTGGAGGGGAAGAGAAGCTGCTCTGCAGGAGGGAGCACGGCTGAACTTGAGAAAGACCTTTTTGTTTGCTTTAAAAAGGATGTTTAAGTGATGAGCTCTAGCTCTTGTTTCCAGCCCACTCTAATCCCAAGATTTAGAGATGGGAAATGTAGAGGTAGATATGTAATCAGATTAAGCCACAGGAAGGAGGTTGAAGTTCCATCCTGCCATTTATGAGGTGCAAGGGGATCCCCAGCTTTTTCATCTGCAAAAAAGACCGATGAAAATAGTGACCGCAATAAAAAAGACAAGGAAGTCCTAGCTGCGAAAACAAAGGGGCCATGATACCCGCGTGGCTGCGTGCGCACGCGCCAGCCTCCTAAGTGCCTGGTGGTCAGCGTGTGTGCGCCTGTGCGCGCCGCCATTTCTTGCAGCCCTGAGCTAGGACCGCGGTGCCCGCAGGGAAATGCAACCGTCAATGAAGAAAATGGCCGCCCTGGGCCAGCTAGTCTGGTAGGGCTTAATCTGCGACTCTTCCCGCGCCGGTCGCTAGATGGCGAACGAGGATCACAAATGGGCTCCAGGTGCCTGGGAGCATTTTGGTTTATATGTCCCTCCCCAGTTGTGGGGTCACCATCAGTTTTGAGAATACAGCTTACATGACAGTCCTATTCCATCTCTGTCGCCCCACCCAGCCGCCAGGGCAGCTTAGGGTAGAAGCTCCTTCCCAGAGAGCTGGGGGTGGGGGGACCCTGCAGGCCCTGGCTGCATACACCACCCAGAGCACGAGCCCGGGAAGAAAATACAGCTGTGGACTTTTTAGGTAGGAAAGACGGACTGGGATGGGGAAGGCTTGGAGAAAGGTGAATCACAGTGGGAGGAGAGGGACAGGAGTACCACTGTTTCCAGCTAGGAGTAGATTTTTGTCTTTCAATACTTCACTGAGCTCATCAGATGTTATTGGGGACACCACCTTTGTCGGTGGGAAGGGAGTAGCAGTACTGGGGTCCTCCCGAGGGAGAAACAGACTGCTTCCCGATGTGGAGGACGTGCTGCGCTCCTTTCTGCCCTCCCGCTCCAGGAGAGGAGCCGCTATGCCCATGGGAGGTGACATCAGCTGGCAGTGGGCGCGCAGGCTCTAGTCCCACAATGCTCTCTCCATAAGGGGGGCTCGTTCTTCCTCAGATCCTCGGCTGGTTTGGAGGAGAAGAATGTGGTCGCCCAGCTGGGAGACAACTGGCAGGAGAAGCCTGCAGCCCTGCGAGGTGGCCAGGGAGGCCCAGCTGCATTTGCCCAGCATTCCGAAGACCTCAGCCCTCCAGAGGGGAGGAGCAGCCCCGCAAGACCCCAGCAGCTCATGGATTTGGAGAGCCAGGCCGGCAGGTAAGTGCTCTTTGTGCTATACTATACTGTACTGGGCTTCTGCTCCTACAGCCAGGGTTTTGTCATGGTTCATGACCCAGAACAAATCCTGACACACTGAGCATGCCAGTTACCCTCTGCAGGTGTGAGTGGTTAGGAGCCAGTGGGAAGCTGACCAGCAATGAGCATCCGAGGGATAGGTTTACATGGGCTTTGGTTTTGAGTCGCAGCATCAAATCCATAGACCAAATCTGGCACAGAGAACCATGTTGTCTGGCAGCTATTTGAACCATGCATACCTGGCTCTGGAGAAGGATATGGGGTGCCTTAGCTGTTCATGGAGACAGAAGGTCTCTGAGGGAGATATGCCCCAGTGTATATGGGACTCCCTGCCAGAGATAAAGGAAGTTCAATGAAATCTTCCACTACCGCCACCACCACTTTGGCCTTGCATGGCAGCATTTAGGTGCTCCCTTTGCTCCCCAGAGATCTTTTCCCAATGTGCCCATAAGTTTGGGAATAGCTTCATGTGAGCCCGTTGTAGGCAGTGGCCATAAACATATTGAACAAGATGGCCAGGGCCCTGCCCACCTGCCCTGAAGGGGCACATGGTGTACCCATGAATAAACGTGATAACCAAAAAAAAAAAAAAAAACCCACAGTAATACCTATTAGTATTTTCCATGTGCTGAGAATGTACAGGCACTGTTCCCATGCTTTATGCATACTGAATTCACACCGATCCTATGGGTAGGTACTCTTATCTCTGTTCTACAGATGAGAAACTGAGGCAGAGGGAGGTTAGCTTGCATTCATCCAACCAGGCAGTAGCCTAACAGATTAGAATCCATACAATCAGAGCCCAGAGCCTGTACTGCTAATTGCTGTGCTGTATCTGCTGCCTCTCTATTTGTGATAAGGCCAGAAAAGAAAGAAACTAAGGGCTCTGATGGGGAGAGGCCAGGGTAAGGGATGTTGTAGCTTGGATGGTCTGTGGAAACTTTTTCTGCCGAGAAAGGGACAGTTCACTTGAGACCTAACCCACAAGGAAGCGCCATTGGCAAAGAACCTGGGAAGACAAAACCTGCGTAGAGGAAACAGCATGTACAGAGGTCATAATAAGAGAGGGAGTCTATAACAGGGACCGAAAGGAGGCCCCTGTGGTTGGAGAGCAGGAGGTGAAGTGAGGAGGTGAAGCGGGGCCAGGGCTGGACCTTGTAGGCTAGGGGGAGGGGGCTACAGGAAGGAAGTGGGATATTACCTGATGAGGGTTAGGGAGCTCTGCCATTGGAGGTTTCCCATTGCTCATACTAGAGTCCTGGAGGGATCCCCATGGTATTATTTTTTACCTTGCTCCCTCAGCTCTGCAGTCCCCCTGAGTGTTGTACTGGGTGTGAATCAGAGGATGCCAGACAGTTTGTTGTTCAATCAGAAGAGGATGCTGTTTCCTTCCTCTTATAGTTAGTGGTCTTCTCACTCTCTGGCTCTGTATTTTATTCTCCATCTGTCTTTGCAAATTCCTGTCTGCGGGGCTTTCCCTCTCAGCCAGTCCACCTCCCCTACTTTCCATGGTGCACTTCTGTGTCATAGAGTGATATAAGAATATGCACAGAGTGACCGGGAACCTTGAGGCCTGGGATGAAAGGGCAGGTACCCTGGAAGGGCTTCCTGAAAGAGAAGGTGGTGTTACGTGCAAAGGTATAAGGGAGGTCATTCATTATGGTTAGAGCTTCAGGTACCCATGACGTCATTTAAGAAGATGAGGCTGGGGAGCCAACCAGGTGCTAGATCATGATTGTTCCCCCCCCCCCACATACGTACATACATACACTCTTAAAGTAGTTGAGGTCTTGGGTACTAGATTCTCTGTCAAGGGAATGATACTCCAGAGCCTAGGCAAGGTGGAGGCAGATCATATCCTGAGCATGACGTGAGCAGCAGCATGTCGTAGAGAAATTAAAATCAGCCCAGGGCAGTGTGCACCCAAAGAGCTGGCCTCAGGCTCCTGGACAGTGGGAAGACGTGATATGGATGGCAGAAACGGAGCAGGGGTGGCAGTGGTAGTGCCAAAGAGGATGCCCTGAATTGCAGTGGGCAGCTGCAGCAGCTTTAGTATGGGACTGGTGACCTGGGAGCAGGCAAAGTGAGAGTAAGTACGGGCCTGGCCACAGAAAGGCCTTGTGAGCTGGCTAGGAGGTCAGATGCCAGGCCAAGGGCTGTATGTTGTACTCAAAGATGGAGATTCATAAAAACCATTATGCCTGTCAGTTTCTTGCCTCTGCTCATGAGTGATGCTTTCCAGAATGAACTGCATCCTACTCTCTTCCTTGGTGATGCTTAAATTCATTTGTCCCTCTCTCCCTCAGCCTTGTGTTCTCCGAAGAGTTCACTGGAGGGTTAGGGGAGGGGAAGCTGATCCTAGGAAGGGGCTGTCCCATCCAGTGAGGGGTTGAGCTGGGCTGTGTCTTTCAAGTCCCTAGTAGCCCCATGGATATGCTCTGACCAAATAAGTCATGGGCCAAGGCTCTTGGCTGCAATGGGAAGCTCTGGTGGATACTGGAAGATTGGAGTCTTGCCACTGACCCACAGGGTGACCTGGCTCACTTAGTCTGGATTTTCTCATCTGTAAAGTGGGTGGTACCACCTATTAACCTCAGGAGTCTCAAAGAGCAAAAGCTCAGGAATTGTGAGGGCTATTTCAAAAACATTGGCATTTAAAAAAAAAGAAAAGTCTTTGAATGGCAGTCTGAGGATTAGGGTTCAAAAACCCTGTTTGACCCTGTTGGATGTCACCTCTCAGTATGGGCACACTCACCCCTTCCTCTACTTCCTTCACGGTGAGAAACCACTCAAGCTGTACGGTCACTGTTACAATCACTGCTGCCACTGAGCAGTCTCACGTTTACATCCCAGCCTCCTCTAGTGAAATAGACCCCAGCTCAGCCAGGTAAGAAGGAACAACCTGGGACATGTTCTCTGGGCTGTTTCCTCCATAGAGCTAAAGGACTAGGCTTTTGGCCCATGTCACTTCCCTGACATTAACTTTAGTGCCTTCCTCAACTCCCAGCAGTCCTTTGGTTAAGGGGCCACAGAGCACAGCCTGAGCACCTATCCCAATAAGAAGCTGAGGTGGTACATCCTAGGGCTCTGACATCCAGAGGACCTTGGTAATGACCCTTGTGGAACATTCCTGGAAAGGCCAAAGAAAGCCCACTGAGGCCCAAGCATATGCCTGTCTCCCTCATGTTACCCATTGTAAGGAGAGGCGCACACCTACTCCCTCACCTGCATTCCTGGCCTCACCTACTGTCTTAGAGTGTAGGAAGAGAACCATTGCAAGGAGGCTGAGTGAGGTTTGTGGAGGGAGGGTCAGAGGTGCCTCTGCTGACATCAGGCGGAGAAATGGCTAAATAAGGAATGTGGTCAGCCCAGCATGAAGCATTCTTTGGTTCCAAAGTTTCCAGGGGCCTGCCCAAGATGAGGTGACTTCTGGGCGTCTGGAGTTCCATGAATGACAAGGGAGAGGTTATACTGCTGATGGAGATTCACACAGAGCGGAGAGGACCAATAGTCTAGGGTTGAGAGTTGGAGGCTCTCCTGGTCCCAGTAGAAGGAGAAGAAAACACAGAGAGGAGGGGTGGAAAGTCCACTGTAGTGAAGTTGGTGGCACAGGTCAGCCTCTGGTCACGTTGATATCTGCATGAAGGAGGAGAACATATGAGCACTGGTGGCAGGGACCCTCTTTCTAGATAGGGCTCGCACATCCATACACAGCAAGCTGAACCCACGGGCTCTGATTTCATCCTGAGTTCCCAATGGGCTCAGCAGTCCAGCAGCTCCCCTTCGCTGCTGTCCCTGCCCAGCAGCAGCTGGAGCACATCAACGCCTCTGCCCCCAGGCCTTCCCATTAGCTCCTTCGCTTCTGTCAGACCAGCTAGGGGATCCTCGTAGCCCTGAACCCCTCCTTTGGGACAGGCCCAGTCCCTTGGAATCTTTCAGTATACCTCTTTCTGTTCTGCTGTGCTCATTCTACAGCAAAGGAATCCTCTTCATGAAGGAGTACATGAATGCTAGTGAGGTATCTTCCAGGAAGCTGGTGTCTTCACACTTCAGCAGGTAAGAGCAAGTCCCTGAGTTGTTCATGTCGTGGCCTCCTGCAGGGCACTGTGTTGTCCTTACTCCTGCATCCCCAGTACCTCATCCAGGGCTTGGCCTAGAGTAGCTTTTTTATAATCATTTGTTGAATGGATGAATGCTGTAATTACCTATGGACTTGATTTATGCATTTCCAGCTATTTTGCCTAACTTGGTGCTTTTGTGTTCCTCCTTTATCATTAGTTCATTATACACCCCACTTCCAGTGCCATCCCTTTCTTCTGGTCTTTGTTTCTCAATAGACTGCAAGCTTTCTTTTGTGAAATACTGAGGGCATCACTGTTTACAGAAGTGATGGGACCCTTAGAGACCACATAGTTAATTTCATCTTGTTCCAGAATATGAGACTCCTCTCTTCAGCTCCCGTGCCCTTTCCAGCATGTCAGGTTGCCTCAATGGAACACACATTTGACTTCAGATCTGGATAGATATATAACTTTTCGCTCATCATCTCTTCATCTGCTTGCTTTCTGAAGCCATATGGAAGGGTTCCTCCATGCCACTTCAATTAAAAACAATCCACACAGCCCTGGCCAGTGTAGGTCAGGGCTGTCGTCCCGTAAACCAGAGTCACAGTTTCGATTCCCCATCAGTGCACCTGCCTGGGTTGCAGGTTCGGTCCCAGTCGTGCACATGCGAGAGGCAACCAATCGATGTTTCTCTCTCACATCAATGTTTCCCTCCCTCTCTCTCTCTCCCTCCCTTTCCCTCCCTCTAAAATCAATAGGTGTGTGCTTGGGTGAACGTAAAAAAAACAGAAAACAAAACAAAAAAAAAAAAAAAACCGCAACACTGAGGCAGCATCTCCCTGGGAATGTTTTTTAGGAGACATCATGTCACTGCTAGGGTGAAGATTTTAGTAACATAGAGAAGCACCATGGCCTTATTTCAGGACTGGACCTCTGGGGATTCTGGGCAAGTTTTCACTGGTGCTTTGAAATGATGAGCATGAACTTGGGGGCCGTGTTCAAGCCCCACCTTGGCCCCCACTGGCTGGATTATTTTGGACAAGATAGTTTACTTTTCTGAGACTCAGTTTCTTCATCTGTAACTCCTTATGGTGGTTTTTCTCACCGACTTTATTGAGATGTAATTTACATATCATAAAAATCACTTTAAAAATGTACAGTCCAGTAGTTTTTAATACATTCACAATGTTGTGCAACCATCACCACTGTCCACTTCCCTGTGAACCTTTTCATCGCCTTTTAGGAAACCCTGTATCCATTAGCAGCTCTCCACACCACCAGCCTCAACCCCTGATCTGTTTTCTGTCTCTATAGCTTTGTTCAGAGAGGTTTTGAGATTAGAAATGATGTATAAAAAACCTCCAGCACCCTCAGCACAGCTGCCCTTGCCGTCAAGCCTCTATGAATGTCATTTGACTGAACTTTGTCCATCCTCTGGTTGTTCTTCTCCCAGTCTCACCACTCTGTTAAATTTATTTGTTATACTCTGACAAGTAAGTTTATTTTAAAATTGAATTTAACATTCATTCAAATTGTAACATCTGGTGACAAACCAGTAGACTTTCTTTATTGGATAGTGAGAATTGTGTAGTCCAGTGCATTTTTCCTTTTTGCCTCAAGAGGCTTAGAGGTAAGCTTAATGCTGAGAAGAAATCAGAGGCTGGGCTGAAATTCTAGCTCACCCCTTTCTTTGGGTGTGACCTCGGGCATGTTGCTTAACCTCTCAGTCAGTTTTCCTGACTACCTCAGGGGATCACCATATGTTTCCTGTGAGAATGGCAGCTTCACTAAAGAATACCCCAGGGCTCGTAGTTAGTCAGGTTTCCCTGGCAGTAGTTTTATTTTTTTAACCATTAGTTTGTATTATAAAAAATCGTATTATTGAAAAATGATGATGAAAAAGAAAAATTCTCACTCCTATTCCCACCCTGTAATGCGAGTGCAGGTATTACATTGGAATGTTTTCTCTGTTCCCATTTCTAGTGTCTGATTTCTTTTGTGAGTGGGCTCCTGGTGACTGTCACATTACAGTGCAGACACATATATGGGGCGAAAGAGCCCTGTTCCTTTCCCATGGGTCGGTGACATGGGGGGCCGTCATGGTATACACAGCCTTAAAAATCCTAGCCGTGCTTCACCGTGGCAGATCCTCTTTGTGCCCCATGCAGGGGCTCTTCTCCAAGAGAATTATGCCTCCTTGGTACCGAGTTTAAAGCTTCCCCTGCCATTTAGCATAACAGATGATGGCTGGCCATGCAGAGTCCTGTCTCAGTTTGTGGGCACAGTGTTGATGAGAAAAGCATCCTCATTGATGACTATGGTAGGGATCTGGCTCTCATTTTCTGCCCTCCTCTTCCCCCATCACACTGCCTGCAGCATCGGCAGCTCTGAGGGCTCCTTCAGCATGGAGAAGAAACCCCTATATGACAGCACACCGTACTTCGAGAGGTAAGTCTGCTGTCTTACCAGGGAGCTTGCAGGTCTACAGAGGAGAAACAGCTGAGGGAGATTTCCACACTAAGTCCACTTGTTTTTGTCTGCTGTTCTGCTGCTTCTGATCCACATTCAGATGTGTCACACCACTGTGTATCCCTTATTGGGATGTTACACTTGTGTCAACTAAAGCCTTTGAATCCAGCTAAGGCCAGAGGGTGAACACAAAGGGCTATTGAGAAAGGAGATAGTGGTGTCTGAAAGCCTAGGGGGCTCATGTAAGCAGGAGAAGCCCTTGGGATTAGAACCTATTGGATCACTTTATGAACTTGCAAGTCTGACTAGAAAAAAACTACAGAAGAGAGTAGTGGGTGAGAAATGAAGAAAAGTAGGTTGCTATCATCAAGAAGCCAGAAAAGAGCCAGAGAGAACCATTCATTTGAGATGAAAGAAGGTGCGGAGAGTGCCTCATTGAGCAGTTTCAAAAGCTGTCACTAGATGACAGCAGTTCACAGGATGGTCTTAGTGATGAAGAAGTCCCATTTTTCAACTCTTGGAATAAGGGAGCAAGGAATCTTAGACATGCAGTTTACTCAGGTCATAGTGAAGAAAACAGGTCTGGAAAGAATAAATCATATGTCTGAGAGGTCTCAGTTACACTGCCAGTGTCACAGGGGTCCAAAAGTGTACAGTCCAAGAGGCAGGGCTCAGTGGTCCCAAGCATGAACGGAAGTGCTGGCAGGACAGGTGTCCAGGTAGGACGTACAAGGACATGTCTCCTGTAGGAGAAGACATGGGTCTTCCTGTTCTAGAGGGGAGCAGATATGCTAGGCTGGGAGCAGGGACAGGCAAGCTGCCTGGAATAAGAATCCCATTGGGGCATCTACACATACAATAGTGAGTAAGGTAAAGGTACGTGACCACTTTCTCGAAATAATGTGAGGATCTACAGAGGCCCAGTCTGGCCCAGGACTATGTAGCTAATTGCACACCACAGAAAAAGATGGCAGGCTGGGAATACTGGCAGCAAACCTAGGCCTAGCTGTGTCAAATCAGAGGGTCTGACTGGGTAACATCAGTAGTCTATATGCCAGCCTGACCATCAGTTTCTTGTTTTTCATCTCATAGAACAACTGGAGGAGTCTGTACTTATTGCAACAGAGAGATCCTAGACTGTCCAAAGATTACCCTCGAACATCTTGGCATCTGCTGCCATGACTATTGCTTTAAGGTAAGGAAGAAGGCTGCTGCTGCTGAGAGCATTGTCTAGAGTTAGGGAGTCCTATGGGTTCAGAGAGTGTGAAGAAGGCTTGAACTCAGTATGACTGAGGTCCATCTCAGAGGCTTTGCAGAACTGGGAGCTGAATGAACTTCTGAGTCAAAGGGAGTAAAGCAGTGGTGGGGACCAAAGCCTGATTAGACTGAGCTAACAAGGGAAAAGGACATACAGAAATGGAGAAAGTGAGTCTGGAAGCCTGTCTTGTGTGGTTGGCTTTGTAGGGGGTCATTGCAAGCATACAGCAGAGCAAGCTCTGATGAAGGGCTTTGTAAGGGAGATGGGCCTGGAGTCTGACCTGAAGGGGCACACAGGGGGATTTTCCATGTAGCTGAACATGAGCAAAGGCAGCTGCCTCCTTGCCCATGGCACAGAGAACAGGAGTAGAAAAGCAGGTCCACAGGCTGGGGAGGAGATGTAGAGAAGGAGACATGGAGGGACAGGGATTTTAACATGCCTGAGTGGGGCTCACATAGGAGCAGGGGGAGTTGGACTTGTGCCAAAATAGTGAGGCATGATATACTTGGAAGATTCTTGGAAGGCAGGCTGGCTGCCCGAGAGCTGCCCTATAGACCATGAGCACAGTTGTAGAAAGGGAGTTATTTTTCTAGGTTTCCAGACATGCTCAGAACCAAGGGTCGCAATCCTGGCTCTGATATCAGAGTCCACATTATCCCACCTACACTCTGCTGCCTCCCAGGAAAGGTCACCCCATTGCTCAAGCTCATTTGTATAAACTAGTCTGATGATATGCTTAACTGTAAGTTGATATAACATTTTAAACAATACCAGCTGGTGTTATTAGGAAAAAAGAGAGGACACCCCTCACCACAGCATTATAACAACTCTTTAGGGCCCCTGTTATCCACAGTGTGAAGCACACTGCAAGCCAAGATTATTGATTTGTTTTTCTGTGTTCCTAGAGGTGACCCCCTAAATGATCAGCGCCATCAGTTGGCTAAGTTGAGGTTCAAGTCCCGGTCCACAGTAGCTAAAATGACAGAGGCATAATATAGAAGCATAATAACGTCAGTGATAGGTTCTGTGACTTTAAGCATATAATCTGATATGCTGAAACCAATTTTAATGTGTAACAAAACCAATTTTACCATTGGCTAATTGATACAAACAAGTTAAGTTTCTCCAGCATCTCATCACCTTTATAACGGCATGATTTGAGGACCCGCTTAGTGGATTCAGGGCACAAACCTAAGTCCAATTCTGAAACCTGGGCTCCTAACCACTATGTGATCACCCTGCCTGCTAGATTTTGTAGGGTTTTGTTTTCTTGTTTCATTTCTAGTTTGGGGTTGGTATCTGTTTTCTGCCATTTTGAAATTGTCTACTTCAAAGCCCAGAGTGCGCCTTCTGCTCAGTTTCTGCCTGCCTCCTCGGTCAGGTGCTCCCTCCCCATTCCACTCATTTACCTTACTTCACTTGTGTATTGACCTCTAGCTTGCTTTCTCTTTCAGTGTGGGATTTGCAGTAAACCAATGGGTGAGCTCCTGGATCAGATCTTCATTCACAGTGACACCATCCACTGTGGGAAATGCTATGAGAAGCTCTTCTAGGTGGGTGCTGTCACCCCAAAGGCCAAGCATCCAGGATTATTAGACGGAAGAAATGTGCCCTGCTCTCCCTCTGAGTCTCAACCTAGGACACTGATATCTCTCTTAGCCTTTATTATGTTTAGGGGCCCTGAGTCCTCTGTCCCTATGCCCTATGATACTTTGAAGTCTTAGGTGGAAAGACCCTCCTCAGGGACACTTCCAATTTGCAGAGGTTGTAATCTCTTCCTCTCAAGAAGTGCCTTCCATGCAGCACCTCAGTTGAGCCTCCTAGCTGCCCTGGGAAACTAGCCAGGCCTGTGTTGTCACCCTTGCTGGGGGACAAGGAAATAATGATCTAGAAAGGAAAAGAGCCTGGAGAAACACCTAGCTGGTGGATGGTAGAATCCGGACCTCTGCCCCAGACTTCAAATCCAGCTTGAGGGCTCTCTGCTATAGGTCCTTATGCCACCTTTACCATTGCTTGTATAGCATAAGACAAGAACTGGACAGCCGAGGTGTTCAGTAAAAGAACATACGGCAGCAGGGGGGTGCAGACAGCAGCAGCTAAAGGCCAGGGTAAGCAGGCATATGTGGGAGAGGATGGTGCCATTCTGGGGCTGGTCCAACCAGAAGGGGCTTCTGGGGCAGCCTCTGGGCCACATCGTCAATACTGCCTGGAGACAGGCTTGTATGCTAAAAACCAGCAGAATTGACCCCAGTGTCTGAGCTGCATGAGACCCAGAGCCCATAGGACACTGCCTTTCAGATCCTGAGAGCCCCTCCTCTTTAGCACCTCCTCAGCTGGAAGCACAGAGCAGCATATCTTCCTTGAAGGCAATGGAAATGGGTGGCAACCAAGTGTTCCACCAGCTACAAGCCTATTTTGCCTTCTCTCCAGGAGGCATGCTCGCCTGCACTGTTAATCTTGATGCCTGGAGCTGTCACCCACTCCAAGAGCCTCTGACTGGTCATTGGACTGGATGTGTAATTCTAACCTCATGGCTACTTCTATTTTCTTTTAGTCCCCCCAGGCTAAGAAGAAGCTGATGACTGCTGGACAAGTTTAGCCGTACCCAGTTGTCCCAAGTTGCTGGCTCCTCTTCCCTCATCACTTGATTTCTTCATTCTTTGCCCTTCTCAAGTTGAACTTGCTTACATCCAGTAGCATATGTTAATGATGCTATGATATTACTTGCGTGTGTAGCTTTTTATAGCTCAGAAAGTGCTTCATATCCATGGTCTTATTTCTGGCTCAGCAAAGAAGATTGAACAAGAATTCCATCTTTGCTTCCCTAAGGCATGTCGACTCTCTGATGAGTTTAGGTGGCCTGGTATGATAGGCATAGGCAGGAACATTGCGTTCAGTGTGTACTGACTTGGGACAGGGAGCAAATCACATTTTGGCTTTCAAGTCTGAGTATACCTTTGGTACTTTAGAATACATGGAGACCCCTGAAGCTTCTGAGGGACCAGGATGAAGATTGTTGACGATCCCTGATGGGTAAATTGCAGACATTGAATGCTAGGGATTGGCATAGGCCAGTGTTTAGCTTTTCAATTTGCCATATATACATTTTAAACTTTTAATATACTTTTAAAAGTAGTTAGTTGCTTTTGATTGAGCTATATAGCAGGCTTTCATTACCTCCTCTACCCACCTTTCACTATACAGTTGAGGTTATCTTTTCTGCAGGCATGTGGGCATGTATTAGAAAGTTTACACAAGTTGGTTTAAATTCTATAGGATGTGATTGTTAGGAGGCTACTGACCAAAGGAACACCTGTGTCTGAATCTTAATAGCTGATTAATACCTTTGCCCTCAATTCCCAATCCCTAGGCTTTACACAGAAATCTTCTAGAGTAGGTTATAGAATGTATACACTCCAGCAGGATTAAGCAGGGAGAAAAGCAGCTAACATTTCTTGAGGCCTTACTACATGCCACACATTATCACAAAGTGATGGCATTAATCCCCATTCTAATTCTTTGCAGAGGGTATTCTTGTCCCAGTTTTACCTATGAGGATACTGAGGCTTGGAGAGGTGGTCTTCGTATTATGCAGAACCATTGCTGTCTCTCTCTAGTAACAGTAACCATAACAGCAAGCATTGAATTAGTGCTGAGTATATACCAAGCACTGTGCAGAGGTTACCTAACCTTACCAGGTAACACAGGTGCCCCCTGACAAACTCTTAACAGAGGGGGGAAGGTGTGAAATCACACTCCTCCTATGGGCATCCTGGGTCACCCTGTGAAGTACCACAAAGGCCAGGCTGCCCCGCTTCCCTCTCCTCCTCTTTCTATGAAAACACTTCTGAACCAAGATGCTCTCAGATGGGAAGAGATTTCACTCAGAGACCTTCCCAAAGAGGAGTTTGTCAACCCAGGGAAAGCTCCAGTGGGCTAGCCACTCTAAACACAGGGCCTTCAGTGATCTCCTATTGTCCAGTCCAGACTCTGTCCCAAGCTAGTAGAAACCTGTTGGCTGGCTGGACAGATGCGGGCCCATCCATACCATCAGTGATGCTCTGCTCAGGGTCAATTGTGCTTCTCTGCCTTTGGGACCAGCACATTGTGCGAGCTCATTGAGAGGAGGAACAACCTGAGAGTTTCTAATGAAAAATGAGGGCCTGTTCTCTTTATTTTATTAGAAAATGTCTCTCCATCTCTCTTCAGTTTCTGAGCCCTGTGCACACTGGCTGATTGGACATCTGCCAAATGATCAGAGTGGAACATTCCATTTATTTGCATAGATGTGCTTCAGATTTGCTCTGGAGGAAACAAGTGGTACAATTACTGACGCTAAATATAAGCTGGTCTTTCTAAAGTGTAGCCTGCAACATGAGACTTGGCACATGGTAGGCACTGACACACAGGTGCTGAGTGAATGAAAGGGAAAGTAAGGTCACTCCTTTGGGTGGGAGGTGCCATCTCTGGGTCTTGGTACAGGCCTAGCTGATGAAGTGCAGAATAAAGAGACCCAAGATAGGCTGGCTTCAAGGTACACTCTGCCTTTTAAGGGAGTTTTAGAACCAACATGCAAGAGATTGACAGAAAGTTTGCAAGATCAATATTGATTTCAATCCAAAACAACCTTTTTCAATCTAAAAAGGCAGGAATTCTGCAGACTCAAGGAAAAAGGGTGGTCCCATTACACTTTTGCTTCTTTTTAATTGCCTAATGTTTTTAATCATACTTGCTTAGCCCACATCAATGCACACAATTATAATAAATGTTAAGATATTGCATTGTCAATATTAAGGTTTCCTTTTTTAAGGGTAATAACTTGGTGTATTTGGTTGTGTGATTTCTCCTATTACCTGAAGCCATTCTCTCTACAAAAGCTACTTTAAAGTAAAAATACTTTAAAACGTATCAAATCTAAAGAGAAAAAATAGCAAGATCTAGAAACTATTCATGCACAAAATGTGGGAATTCTAAACTTGTCAGATTTTAATGAAAAATGTTTTATTCTTTTGGATCCATCCAGCCCTTCATTACCATTGCAGACAAATGGCCACCTAGTCCTTATTGCACACTTACTTACAGTGACCAGGAGCACAGTCCCTTTTAAGTCCATTCTGTCTGTGGACAGGCCCACTTTTAGAAAATACATTCTTCAATTAAGTTCTGTTTCCCTTTATCACTCACTGGTAGTCTATAGTCCCTCTCATGTGCTAAGTCCTAAAACAGAAGAAGATGCTTATTAGGTTCTCCCTTTGTTAATTCTTCTCCCATTTAAACACCCCTGGTCTCATCAGCTCTTACTTGACAGTAATTCGAATATGCATTTTCAAACACCCTCCTCAGAGGTGCCCTCCCACACACATCTGAACCCATTCCTCCAGACATGTACCGATGGGCTAGACAGTTTCGTCTTGGTGCCCCAGGCTGCCAAGAGTCCTGTTGAATTATTGTTCTGCCTATCAAGTGATCCATGCTTCTGAGTTTAATATCTGAAAGTACAATTTGCCTGCCATCCGGCCCAGAGACAAGGAAAGAAGGATCAAGAAATCAGTCCAAAGATTAGAAGACACGACAGAGAATTTCCTCCACTACTGAGCAGAGACCTTGGGACAACAGCTACTGAACACTTAGTGTCCCTGTAGCTACTTTCTCACCCCAACCTCAGGCATCATCTAGGCTGCATGAGGACAACTGGGAAAGGTAGAAGAGGTTTTATACTTCCAGATACAAGGACTACAGCTGTAGCTCCTAACCAAATATTTTCAGGACTTGGTGGTGACCTAAAAACCCTAAAATCTAAAAAAATAGGGTAGTATTAGTTTAATTGTCAGGTCATATCTGATTCTGTGAACGTCTTTCTCAAATATGACATTAAAGTCAGAGCCTTGGTTATATAACCAAGGTTTCAAAGTACAACCTGTTAAGTAGCAGGGCAGGCTCTTATTCAACCTCGGCAAGTAATTATATAGCCATGAAAATAAAAATGCTCAAAACAAAATTACAAATTCTGGAGGGATTGGGCAGGGAGAAAAAGATGTGTTTCATTTCTGTTTATAAAAGTATAGTTTACTAAATTGTTATGAATTATGGATAGCTTAAGAGAAATGAGAAAGGAGTTCCTTATATCCAGAAAATACATCATTAAACCTCAGTAACATTGCAACAAACCCTTTAATCATCCTCCGTGAGATTATTCAGCCCTATGTAATTCTTATTCTGCTCAGTCTTGGGTAAGCAGTGTCATGAATCCATCAGCTTCTTCATTAGCGTCCTGGAAATTCTGACTCAGTCCAGTGGTAGGATCTCAAAGCTATTTAACCAATGCCATCAGAAGTTTGTGCCCTCAGAGCACCTGTCATAGTCCTTTACTTGGGGATGTGAGACAGTCCCTTTTTCTTGAAGATGAAGCATTCTAGCCTGTAGCTGATCGCAAGTGATTTCAGGGAAGACTCAGTGTAAAATAAAAAACTATCTGCATGACAAAAGACTTAACAAAACTCATGCCTTGGCAGAGAAATTTGGTGGTTTCTTTGGCATGCAACAGTTTAAAAACTGAAATTATGAGATTATGAGTGATATCTCTGTAATGTTTAATGTCAGGCAAAGCAGAACCAGATCATATTGTAGACAGTGAAGGCATTGGAAAATCTCTAGAAAAGCAACTTCATACAATTTCTGAAATATTTATATTACTAACATTTTGCCCACACAAATTTTACCTAGGGAAGATTAGACATCTCTTCTGATTGTCGAAGCCTCCCAACTCGATATATCAAATAAACCTAATTATTTCTACAACCTCTGTTTTTACAAGATCCTTTGTGATTTTCCAGGGTCCCTCAAAGAAGGTTGGGATCAAGCATATATTTGGGTTTAGGAAGGTAAACTATCGAAGTTGTCAGGAGGTTTGAACACTTGCTTAAATAAGATCATGTGTTAATAAGACACACTACATGGCTTTCTATTTAAAGTGACAAAATATTTTAAAAGTAAATATAGGAAGTAATGCAGTAGTAAAGAGCCTTAACTCTTTCAAAAGTGAGAAGGCTTGGTTCTCAACTAAGGACATGAAAAAGTCAAAGCAAAGGAAATTATTTTAAGATGCTGAACCTTTGCTTTCTAGGCAGATTACTCTAAAAGCAAAGAAAACCCTTTTTCAACCTCTTATGAAGAGCAGACCAATAGTCTAAGGAAAAAAATTCCATTTTAACGATAAAATCAAATTCTAGTTTTGCATCAGTGTACTATTTGATATTACAGCTCATTTTTAAATATCTCATTCATAAACCCATTGACCTTTAGCCAGCTCTGAACACAAGAAATAAAGTTTCTATTCTGCGAAGCTTCTACAACTTTCTATACTCATTCAGGTTTTGTACTGTTGGTGTAAAAAAAAAATGCCCAAACCAGTAGAGATTTTTAATAAGTTTATTTGCGCCAAACTGACCACAGATGTCTTAGAGCAAGTTCTAAAATGCTCCTGAGAATAGCAGTTTTGCGACTTTTATGCATTTGAAATTAAGGCAGGAACACAGGAAGATTACATGAGGATGGGGGAAAGCAAGGCCAAGATTGAAATACAGGAGAGTTAAAAAGATTATGTGCTTTCTTAAGCACGGTTATGCCTTTGAAGGGCATTACTTCTGGCATGTCAAAGGTGCGTTAACCTAGATGCACAAGAACAATGAACAGGGTTTGCTTAAAAAAATTACAGGCCTCAGGCATGACTACCCACCATGATCTGCACAGTTAAGAATTTATGGTCAGATCACCCAGTGAGGTTACTTTCCACAAAACCCCATTTTTTCATCCACAGTTCTATACTTTCATTTCTGTCATTGTGGAGCAACTACCTTACTTTAGGACAAGATACTGCTATTTTTTTCCTTGACAAAAACACGTCCTGCGTGCCTTAATATACTTAATTTTGTGTAAGTGTATGGGTTTAAGTTACCAAAAGATCTTGAAATCTTTAGAGCTGATATTACATACGAATCACAATTGTTGAAATAAAGTTTTGTCAACATAAGTTCACTTAAAAATATTACATGGACAGAAGAACACATAAATCCTGGGGATGTGATGTACAGCATGATGACTGTAGTTAACAATACTGTATAAAATTTCTCATCACAAAAGCAAAAATTTTAACTGTGGTTGGAGATGGATGTTAGCTACAGACTTACTATGGTGATCATTTTGCAATATATACAAATACAGAATCATGTTTTATGCCTGAAACTAATATAATGTTATATGTTTTCAGGGGTACTTCTTAACCTTTCCTGTTCTCCAGGATCACAGGGCCAGATGCTGTGATCCTGTAATATTCCCATGGCATTACTCTTTGTGACACCTAAAATACCTGTAATACCAGGTGTTTGGTGGTTTCACAGAGCCAAAATGACCTGGTGTTGTGAGGACCCTCAGGTAAAATGTTCCACCTGGGGTCTTCAGCTCTCTGACAGCACCAGGTAACTGCCTTTTCTTGGGAAGTAGATTAACAGACTCTTAATAGTGTATTTTTATTAAGTAAGGCCTACTGAGGTCCGTGTTCCCTGTCTCAGACATAACAAACGCCTGCAGTGAAAGAGAAATGAGGTGATGCCTGCAAATATCTTGCTCAATAACCTTCCATTTAAAATTTTGTTTGCTTTTATACTTTTTAATCCTTTCACTTTTTTTACCCAGCCCCCCAACCCCCCTCATCTGGCAACCATCAGTTTGTTCTCTGTATGTGAATGTTTTTTTTTGTTCATTTATTTTGTTCTTTAGATTCCACATGTAAGTGAAATTGTATGGCATTTGTCTTGCCCTTTCTGACTTATTTCACTTAGCATATTTTCTGGGTACAAATTGGTGGTTACAAAATAGTCCTGGGGATGTAAAGTACAATATAGGGAATATAGTCAATTATATTTTAATAACCATGTGTGGTGCCAGATAGGTACTAGACTTATGGGGGGTCGTTTTGTAAATTATATAAATGTCTAATCACTACGCTGTACACCTGAAACTAATAAACTAATATAATATTGAATGTCAATCATAATTGAAAAATAAAAATTAAAAATAAACTTTTGTTTTAAATATTTTTATTAAAACATTATAGAGAAGCCTGTTCTTTTGTATCCCCAATAAAGCAAAAGAAATCTACTCTGTCACCAAAGGCCCACAGTTTCTGGTCCTGAAAAGTAATTACAGGCTTCAGAGCCTTGGGACTCAAAGCCTAGTCAGAGGTCTGCAGCATTGGAGTTGCCCAGCTTTTGAGAAACAGCAAGCTTTTAGTTCCACCCCATCCTCCTGACTAGGACTTGCATTTTTATCAAGATCTGCTGGAAATTTGTGCACACCTTCCACTGTGATACCTATACCCCAGGCACACCCATTTCTGAATAGCGCTTTCCGGTCCTGCAGGACCCAAGGGAAACACTCCAGTCTTCCCTCAGTGAAAGAAACCTCCTTCCGACAAAAAGCGGGAAGCAGTTTGGATGCTAGGTGGGATACTTTCTCCTGAAATCAAGAGGATAATGGGAGAATGGAATCCTTGATTGTTTTCTGTCTCTTAAAATATTCATGCCCTTGTAAAATACAGGGAGCAACTGTATCTTTGCCATGCTTCCGTAGAACACAGCCCAAGAATAAATAAGCGGCGCAGGACTTTTCTTTAGAAAGTACTCTCTGGGGCTTTACTTTTGCACCCGGCCCTGTGCTAACTCCTCGCAATATTCAAATAGGAGGAGCCAGTGGAG